ATATCGTTACTGTAACGTTGGAAAACGCATCGTCCTGTTCATTATTTCGCCGTTAATTAATAAAAAAGACCATTATCTTTATATCTATTCCATAAAATATGGCATAATATAATATAATATGAATATAATATGAAAAATTTTCTATTTCTATTTGAAAGAGAAAGATAAAAAAAGAATACGTTTTTCTTTTTAAAAAAGAATATATATTTATTTAGAAATTTAATTTTTATTTTTTAATAATATAGTTTCTGTGATTTTTCAAATTTCTTAAAACGTTATTGCGTTTTCCCTTGATATTGTGCAATCAAATAGTCGGTAATTTTAGTCGAACAACATATATACCGACGCAGATATCGACCATTTAACAGATGTTGAGCAGAGGGCGCCTATAACAAAGCCATCCAGTTGTCTTTCATAAGCTCTGCTATTTATTCAAGTGAGTTTATATTTCTTATATCTTATTTTCTAAAAGATTAATTTATCATAGATATAAAATGTAGTTAAAATATATAAATCCTCCTTTTACAACATTATCACAAATCCGAGATTTAAAGCTGAAATAAAGTTAAATAAAAATTGCAAAAAACTATGGTCAAAAGTAATCTTATTTCGACAAGCATTAAAAATATAATATAATTGCTTTTTTTAATATAAGAATAAATTGTATATTTTTCGATAAGATAAAGCTTAGAATTTACATAATTATATTTTTAAAGAAATAATAATTCAGAACATCTAATTTAAATTTAAATGCATTAAATTTGAAAAACATCTATAATTGATTTTGCCTTGTTCGGTCTTGTTTAATTTAATTTTATTATTATTTTAGCACATTTGTCGAGTTTCCGGCCAATTTTGCCGCATGCGTCAATCGATTAATCAGCGAAGTTAATTTTACAAGATTCTCGTGTATTTCTCACAATTTCTTAATTAGCGATAATTATAAAAAAACATCAGGAGCATCATGATCATCATTGCTGTGGGAAATTTCGATAATTTTTTTTGCCACGATATGTGAACATCGCAATCGTGTCATGCGAGTAATAATTCTTACGTCAATCGTTCATGTGTAAACCATATGTACCATGTGTAAATAATGTCACTCGTCTGTCACGCAACTAATTATAAACGTGCGTGAATCGTTATAGCAGATGCGCTGGAATTACAGCGCGTCAAATGAAGCCAAACTGATTGGTTCTCTGTGAAAGATACGTAAAACATGTCGATCAAATATTCTATAACGTATTCTCTCTTTCGCTAAATAATATTTTATTTTTAGAGAGGAATACGCGCCACGACGTGCTATTTCTTCAATTGAATCGCGTTCCTGATATCGTTTTATCTTAACAGTCAACACTGATGCCACTTGTGACACTTGAAAGAAAAACACACTGGCTCGCTTAAGAAATATTTAAATTATCGTTAATTTAATATAAAAAAATACACAAAAATTTTTGATTACGGCTAATTTGTTAATTTCTTTCCTATAACTTTTTGTTTAGATTATATGTCTTTTTTTTCAATTTCAATTGTATAGTTACAGTCTGTCTGTGTAATACGTAACTTATCAGTTGAGGTTTAATTTATTCACAAGTAAACCTGGAAAAATGCGTCATCTAATTGTTTGAATGCGGTTGCACGACACCTATCTAAATCGCAAATGCTAGAAGTATTTTAAAACTCTTTTTATGTCACATGCCATGCATTTTTATGCCATGTATAATGCATGTGTCTGGCAAGATGTAAGCAACAATCCTCTTGTGCACAATTTAATATCTTCTACTATAATAATATATATTTCTCGCTTTTAAATATCTTGACAAGTTTTGTTAAATTTATTATTTATAACAATTTTATGTGAAAATTAAAAACCCGCTTATTCTCATATATAATCATAATTTATTTATTAAATTCAAACTTAGTAAAATAGAAATCAATTAAAGACAAGTATTGCTGAATATATTTTATTAAATTTTAAAATGTAGGGAAAATATCGTAAATTATTATCAAGAAAATACAAAATTTCCAGTGTAATATTTATTAATTTTATGGCAACTCGTATACTTTAATATATCCTACATTTCACAATATGATGCAATAGGCGGGTCCAGTTAAAAATTTGCATTAGTATTGTGAATCATTTTTCATTTTCTTCTACATAAAAAGATGAGGCGTCAAATTTACTTAAAATTACTTCGGCTGTCATCACATTGTGAAACTATCTTATAAACCTTTAGCCTCATATATATATGTAATCTGAATGTCGGGATGTGTACGGATCTCAACTATAGGTCGCGTATCGACAAACGTGGCGTTGAAATCTCCGCATTGTCCTACATATTACGCGAGAAGCAAAGAAAAAAAAATAAACTCTCATGTTTAAATTGTCCAGAATTTAATCTTTACACACCTTTACTTGTATAGATACAATCAGGCTTGTATAATGTATAATATATATTCTAATATATATCCTAAAAAGTTATAAACGCGAACAAAATCCACAATTCTAAGTGGAAGTCTTATCTCGGCAACGTGTGTTGTCCGTGGAACACAAATGGGCAAAAGAATCTTGCACAAAATGCACCGATGCTCGAGAACGAACAAGCCGGCGATAAAATTTCTTATTTTATTTCTCAATAATTTCTATTCCTTTTTAGTCTCTCAAACGTGTTACCACATTATGTATTTATCACATCTTACATAAGCTAATAGAATACAAAATATGCACATATAAGTGTAACTGATGTATGAACTCTGAATTGATTAAGATAAAAATACTTTACACGTGAAAGAGACATACTTTTAGTCACCGCGAACTTCGTACAGTGACCATTACTAGTCGCGCTAGGCCGTGTCGCGGTTTTCTTGCGGTACAAGATGACGCAATCTGCTGGCAGCGAAAGTATACAAACGCACGAACGCGTCTGGATATAGCTTAATGTAAGAATAATTATTTCTCCGTATCAGTTACAAGGAAAAAGATATGTTTTAAATAGAGATATCCTGTGTATAATATATCGGATATTTTCTATATAATACTAAAGTCCTCGACCTTAATTTCGATGACAGATTCTACGACAAATTCGCAGTTGATTTTTCTTAGGAAATATTACAACAAAGTTGTATTTACTTTTATTGCAACTTTTCTTTTAATGCAATATTCCACATGTTTTAATATTCAAGAGATCACAAAAATTTATATCTTTATATAAAAATAGAAATATATATTCATATCATGAAAATTTAGCAAGCTTATGGAAAAATTGAAAACAAAAAGGATAAGGTCGATGCTAAACTGTATCGCTAAAATTAAAGTTGATACTGTGAAACACGCATCATACATAGTTAATAATAGATATTCGTATGCGCCAAATTGCGTAATTTTCTAATGTAGCCTCTTCTCCCTTAATTGACATGTATAAGGAACAATAGTTATGCGTATATCACCGATAAACAAACTGTCGGATGAATAAACGTTGGCTAAGAATGCCACGACAAGTTCGTAACATGCATGTCACGATAAATTGCAAATTCATCGGTCGTTTTATGCAAACAAGCAGCAGGAAATCGTTTAATCCGATGTTAACGGTTAGATTACACGCTGCACTTCTTTCAAGGTCTTCACGATTGACGAATTAAAATCTCGAACACGACTGTGGGAATAAACTAAGAGTCATTACGTTTTGAGCAACCAGCGAATGAGAGTATAATTGTATGATTTTTATACGAATAATACATGAAACTAATACTCATCGATACTCTATGAGTAATTAATTGCTTGTTTGCACAACAAACTTGTCGTGGAATTCTTGGCCAATGTTTATTCATCCAACAGTTTGTTTATCGGTGATATACGCAACTGTTGTTCTCTATGTATGTCAATTAAGGAAAAAGAGACTACGTTAGAAAATTATGCAATTTGGCGCATACGAATTAAAAAGGACATCTTTTAAGATTTTCTTTTATAAACGCATCTATGCCTCTGAAGACTATTATTTTGCTCCATAAATGATTAATCGCGTGAAAAAATCATACAATAATACTATTCTCATTCGCCAGTTGCTCAAAGCCTAATGACTCTTACTTTATTCCCAAAGTGTTCAAGATATTAGTTCGTTAGTCGTGATGACTTTGAAAAAAGTGTATAATCTAACCGTTAACAGGCTTTAAAGAGATTCATCTCGAACCATTAGTTGTTAATTACTCGAACCAACTTTAATATCTTAACTCTTAAAAACAAAGAAAAAATGTTATACAGTAAACGAACAATAATCCTAAAAAAAGGGAAAAAAAGGAAAAAAAAAAGAAAAATTAATTGTGAATCACATAACGTTTTCGAAATTATTTTTCTTTCTATATGTTATACAGTAAATAAATGATAGTCCTGTTTAGACAAAAGAAAAAAAATAATTGTGAATTACATAACGTTTTCGAAATTATTTCTCTTTCTCTTCTGCTTTTAATAATGGAAGAATATTTAAATATTAACACCCTTTATGTGTCTATTATATACATGACGAGTGCTATAATATTAAATTCCCCATTTACGTTGTCCACGCGTTAAGATATTGTTGGAATTATTAAAATAATACTTTTCTTCGAATGAATCGTTATATCCTATTATATACTAATATTTAATTTTATGTAGTAAATATTTTAGATGTATAATTATTTCACTAAAAATCTCATTCGAGACTGAGTATAATCTTATTGCGTTAATCTTTCCCAAGTCACCCTTGCATATTATATATAATTAAATTGAATTATTTGTTTGAGCAAAATACAGATACATGCGTGTTATAATTTTCCACTGAATGTGGAAAAGATGAGATACATATGTTTAAAATGTTGAAAAATGATCGCTTGGAAAAGATTAATTATATACAAGATGATTCGGAATATCTTTTCAATGTTTAAATAAATTAACGATTAAAAAAAGATGACGATAATACATAAGTGATAATATTTCTTATCTATACGCATTAAAAGATAAAATCTTAAATCACACGTATAGAAATAAAGAGAAAATTCATTTTTTAACTCTCAATTCCTTTTGCGTATCCATAACATAGTGTTACAAAATACATTGTAAAAAAATGAATACGCAATCAGTACGCATCGTTACATATCGTTTTTTTAATCGTTAATTTATTTTAAAACCTGAAAGAGTATTCTGAGGATATTTCGTAAATATACATATCTATATGTAAATCATAATGCAATGGTACGAAGATTTTTGTTGGAACGCATGATCAGAAAAAGAGCATATCGCAAGATGCGAAGATCAGTCCGTATTTATCGATTTTAAACTAAGTAATTCTCTCGTCCTATACATATGCGCATACTATACATCAACGAAAGTGCAAACTATGTCAAAGTACGCGTCTAATCTGCGTTTACGCGGTTGCGGACTTCGAATTGGTGTTAGCCATTTTCTTCGTGAACTCCATAAGGAAATCTTTGTAAAGGAGCGAATCCATATTGGTCGAGAGGATATAGAGTATCCACCAGTCACCGAGGTCGACCTTCTTGCTGACACTCTGGCAGATCTCGATCGGCAGCAATCTCGTCGATAGGTGCAGCAGCCTCGGTCGTACCATCGGTGCAAAGATAATCACCCCTCTGTATATCAACAGGCCGAACAACATGATACCCAGGATGAAGAACCAAAACCAGATGAAGATGTACGTCTTCTCGTTGACGATGTTTAGCGGCAATATGCAGAGGGAATCGTGCTGCTGTATCGTGCCTGAGGCACCATACTTGTGGAAGATACACTTGGTGACACGTGGGAATACGTAGACCATAGGATCGACGCGTTCCTCCTGGGGCGTCTCCGAGAACTGCAGCACTCGCAGACCGTAGCTGAAGAATTCACCGTCGAAGAATCGATTCATCAGGAAAAGCTGACCGAATATGTTGATGAAGCACAGGATCTCGCAGACAAAGTACCGATACACATACGTGTTGTGACTCTGCAAGCAGTAATATAGCGTTGAATTAAGGCAAATTGGACTCAATGAGGGCGAATTGGACTTAACGCAGTTCGTCTCCCTCTCTCATGTGACATGCCCGTCGTCTCAGCTAACATTCCGGCTAAACGGTATCGCGATATCTCGCATAATCTATTTACCAAGTAAATATAGCATGTTGTAATCTAAGTAAATATGAGAGGCTAAGTCCATTCCACGTTTCGAAAATGAAGATTATTTTTAATATATCGATACGGATCTTTAGTTATATATTTATGTTTATATAAAATCTTATGAAATTAATTCGCATTTATTCTCGTATTTTATAGGTGATATATATTCTGAATCTTTTTTTACATAATTTATATTCAACGATTAGATATCTGTAGATTTAGTTTCAATCCTCAAGGATGCTTTGAAAACATTCTGACTAGAGAGACGATAAGTTTAACGATAGCAAAGACACGTGTTGCTCAAAGGTAAACCAGCTACTTATCAATGACCACCGGTAAAATAACGAGTTATCTAAGGAAAGTTTTTGCTCCTCCTATTGCTTCTTCTTTCACATGTTACTACTACTTCTTAAATATCTTATCTACCGAGACGAAGCAAATTTTAATGCTTTGTTTAGTGAATTGTGTGTTTGATTTATTTACACTTACCCTGATATGCTGTATCAAATAATCCATGAGAGCGCTTTTTTTCTTGGTGATGTTTTCCTCGGTGTCCATGCCGTGATTCATTCCCATGACCAGCGCATTCATCAAACCGCCTTCCCACAAGCCCCACAGCCATTGCGGTACATAACATAAAATCGCCTGAATCAATAAAGGAATAAATAAATATTTAAAAAATGGATAAATGTATAAATGTATAAATAAATATTGTATATTGAAGGAGGAAAAAGAAATATTAATCGCTATAAATAACATGCTCAAATCAATTGATTAATAACTGAATAAATGAATAAATAAATGGATAAATAATTAAATAAATATTGTGTATTGAAGGAGAGAAGAGAAATATCAATCACTATAAATAACATGATCAAATTAACTGATCAATAACTGAATAAATAAATAAATAAATGGATAAATGATTAAATAAATATTATGTATTGAAGAGGAGAAATTTATCGCTATAAGTAATATATTCAAATCAATTGATTAATAACTGAATGAATGAATAAATAAATGGATCAATTGGATGATTAAATTAATATTGTGCATTGAAGGAAAGAAAAGAAATCACTATATATCAATAACTATAAATAAGAGATAGATTTTTACTATATATGTTTATATAAAATCTTATGAAATTAATTCGCATTTATTTTTGCATTTTATAAATGGTAAAAATTACATGTACAGAGAAACTGTCTTTTTTATGAATAATTTATATTCAACAATTTTTTGTCACGAAATTGCGCTGAGCAAAACATATGTTTTATCCTGTTATATTTATTTGCTAAATTTGTTGTCTATCTTTTCTTGACAGATAATTGCAATCTTTTTCTACAGATAATTATGCATATTAATCTCTAAACCTAAACTCGAAAATTCTATTAATATATCATCGATTTAAAAGTGATTGGCGAATGATCGATTAACTTTTATCTTTTAATAGTCGCAATTTAAATCATATATATATATTTAACGAGCTGAAAGACCTCTCACGCTTGAGAGATCCACGTGGGCCGCAGTCGACCAGATATAAAAGATAAGCGCGAAAAGACAGACAGATGAACACAAAGAGGATTCGGAGGGATGAGGGGGAATCTCTTTCTTGTCTGGCGCGCGCGACTCGAGGCGTATGTCACGTAGCACGTGTGGTAGATTGCCGATAAAAAGATTTGCTTACCTGGAAAAACAGCACGAAACAAACCCACTGGTAGTACGTGTAGTATTTCCTCGCGTCGACATCTCCAAAGTCATTGGCTACTCCTGGATGGGCGACTTCCAGGCCGACCTGTGGACAGGCGATACTTTAGAAGGATGATAACGATGACACTATCGCACAATGGAGTTCCATTTGACTCCTTTTGCATATTGATAAGGAGGAAAAAAATTATCCTAATCTATGTATATCGTTATAACAATATTTTCGTGTGTTGCAACGTGCGCAGTTGCATAAATAAATTAATTTCTTATTAATTAACTTATGTGAAACAAGAATTACATGTTTTTTAGAAGACTGACAGGAATTTATCCGGATGTTTTGATCATAAAACTTATCACGTTAAAAATAGCAAATTATATATTCATTTTTTTTATTCTTCCTTCTTGCAAATTAAAATATCTCAAGAGTATATTTCAATAAGAATATCACTGTGTATGATATACTCTTCTGTGTCTTGAAGAATTAAGACATGAAATCTAGTAATTCGAAATGTGAAACATTATTCCTGTTTTAAAGAACAAGTTGAGATTTCGTTTTATGAATACATGTGCGCTTAAGGAACGATTTTAAAAGAGTTATATCGCCAATATATAAAGCTAATCTCTTAAAAGAGATGATAAATGTGTGTATTTATTAAAGATTGCATCGACTGTAGCAGTTGGAAGTTTTTGCTTTTTGCAAAGTTAATCGAGAAAAATTCGCACAATCAATATGTTAATTTTTATCGTCTTTTTTTGCGATTTGAAACGAGGCAACCGTGATTTATTCATCTGTAAATACTTAGCTAATCAACAAATTTCCAAGTATAATTAGTGAATAATATTATAATTAGTAATTTAAATAAACATTTGTGAATAAGTAAGACTATAAATAAATGTTTCTTACTGTAATATTTATAATCTTACTTATTCACTAATGTTTATTTTAACTACTAATCATTTCTTTTAGATATTTATATTATCTAATATCTAATCTTATCTAATACTATTTTATATATATATATATATATATATATATATATATTATATATTAATATCTATCTTATCTAATACTTATATTATCTTATATCATCTAATATCTTTTGTAGGATGATTCTTCAAAATTTGCATGCATTCAAATAACAAAGTTGTAACTTCATTCACTTAATCTTGAATCAATCATTCCGTTATCATTAGCCGTGGTCATGGCATTTCATTCATTCTTCATCACTTATTTTTTTTGTATATATCTCAAATATCTCAAATATCCCGAAAAAATGCTAATCTCTCGATACTTTATTTCAATCACAGAATTTGAATAATTAATGAAGTGGTAAAATTGATATAGCATCTTTCGATGCCGCGATTATTTATATAGACAGATTGATTAAATAAAAGTGTCTTTATACGCAAAAAAATTTATGCGTAAAAAATGATATATACGTAGGAAATTATATATCCAGATTTATCGCGTGCAGAAATCAAATACTGATTATATTACCTGCTACTGAGACTTGTTGGATCAAAACTGTAAACGTAACAAATAAATCTCTATAAACAGCAAAACGCGGATATCAAATATCAAAAGCAATACTATATGCAAGATGATGTAATCGAGATAGGAAAAAATTGCGATACGTCAATTTAGACAAATAATTAATAGATATTTTAATTATTTTAAAAGATTAAACAAGATTTTATACAATGATATGATGATTTTAAATATACTTAATAGTTAAGTTATTTTAAATATACTTAGAGTTTTAATATGATATATAACATACACTGTGTTATAACGATATAACATTAACTTTGCCAAGTCAGCTTTAGATACGCCTACTAATCTAATACACCTGCGCAAAATATAACTCTTAATTATTATAGTCTTTTTTTTTAAATTTTGATTCTGATTCGTTTAAACATCTATTAATCATTTTTCTCAACAATCTTCTATCAAAAGTAATAATATATGTATTTATACTTTCATTAATAAAATATTCGGTTTATAAAAAAGAGTGTAATAAAAAAATTAAAACATTTAATTCAAGAATATAAAGATCGATGATTTACGTATCTCAAAGATTTAATGTAAAAGTGTTGCAAACAAATTTCGAGAAAAAGAGTCTAAAAGTGTCACTTGATTTGCATTATGTGTCAACAACTCTATTAACGGTTTTTTTTAAATGCTGTTTACCTTGACATATTGACTGATTGTTAACGCAGAGATAATTGTAAGGACATCGTGCGTTTTCAACGATAATCAATTAGAATCCACGAAAGCGGTAGCGATAGTATCAGTTTGACGAGAAGATTGTCGAGAAAGGGGGACAAGCGACGATCCCGCGAGGATCAGGGGCGATCGGCGGAGGATAGGTACACAATCGAAAATCACACACGCACCTGTCGATTGAACGCATCCGGCATAGTGAAGGTGGAAGTTATCCAGCAGTAAGTGTTGATGGCGTGCGTAGGCAAACCCTGGGTGATACAGGAGATCGGGTTACCGACGTACTGGGTGGCCGTGAGCAGTATCGAGCACGTGAACAACAGCACCGTGGTGAAGTGGTTGTGCATCCGAAACACCATAGAATCCGTGATGATCTCCTGCCGTTTCAAATAACGGCTCAGGTCCGATAGTAGCTTATACATGATCGCGCCGGGATCTCGCTATGCCACGAGGACGTTGAAGTGAAACGCTCTCCCTCGTCTCTCCAAGACGATGATAACTGACCGCGTCAACTGTCAACACCCGCTCATCCGCTATTATCCTGCCGCCACAGCCACGAGCACCACGTGCGATTCGTTAGCGCGAATAGACGGGTTCCGAGGTCTCTCTCTTTCCGTTACGTAGGAATTTCAAGCACGATGACGACCACGAAGACGTACCATCAACCGGCACTAACGAGCGTAGCTCATCCACCGCGTTCTCGCGCGAACGAAGGCAGCAAAACGAAACGAGAGAGAGACACGAGCGTGCACGGTTGTCCACGCGGCCTCCTCTACCCGTGTTCCCTCCTTTTTTCTCCTCCGTCTCCCGTCTCGCCTTCCGCAGTGCCCCGCCGTTTCGCTTCCCCCCGCCTCTTGCCCCCTCTCTTTATCTCTCTCTCCAACCCTGCCCTTCTTTTCCCGCCTCTCTCTCTCTCTCTCTCTTTCTCTCTCTCCTTCCACCCCTCTGTATCCCCGCCGGGGGTCCTTCCTTCCCCTCGGCTCTCCGGGCGAGATAGGTCACCGAACCACGCTGGACGAGTTGCCGACGAGTCCTCGACGTGTTCCAGTTCCTCCTGCGAAGAGATCGGCGGCTTTCGGTTCACAAGCTCGCGTGAATCATTTTAGCGAGGGAATAATAAAAATTCGCGGGGGAAGAAACGAGAGGAGGAGCGCCTTTTCTCCTTTTCTCTTTATCGTCGTTTCCGTCTGCGGGAGCCTTTTTCTTATCTCCGCTACTTCCGCTTTCTTCCCTCTCTTGATATATCTTTTTCTTACAATTTCGAACAAGTTTGAAGAGACTTCCTTGCGTAGCTTCGTGTTCTCTTAGGCAATCTCGTCGAGCGGTTTCCTCGGATAATTATTCCACGGAATTTCTGCGTTCGGCGCGTGATTGTGCGATTTCGCGTGTAAATAAACGCGAGATTCCCTCGCGATCTCCGGCGATCTTTGCCCTTCCTCCTCTTCCTCGGGCGCTCTCGATCTCGACCGACGATTATCCTCGGCTTCTCAAACGATCCCTCCCATTCGCGGTCGCGGAACGCGCGTCGAGGTAAGCTAAGCTAAAAGACCGGCGGGGCTCGTAGAGGAATTCGTGTTCCCTTCTCGAGGACGTTAATTTCTTTCCCTTCCCTCCGTTTCCCGCTCTTTCCTCCCTCTATTTCTTTCGGATTCTCCGGAGAATCGAATCGGGAGAGCGAACGCAACGTGGCCGCGTATCGAGGAAGCGACACTAACTACCAACTGTCAATCGTGCCGACCCCCCTCTCCATCTCTCTCACTGTGTTTCTCTCTTGCTCTTTCTCTTACTCTTTTTCCATCCCCCTTCTCGACCAAGTCCCCCTCCTCACTTTCGTTTCCATGCACGCGCAACAAAATCGTGCAGCGAGGCTCTCGTCTCCTCTTTCTCGTCGAGGAATAAATTTTTTTCTCTCGCAAAAATACCGTGAGACGGCCGCGGCAACGAGTGCCGACACGTGTATGCGTATTCGTACGTGCGTACGTAGCAATATCTTGAGCGGCGACTGACGAGAAGTCGCGGTTGTTTGTTGTGTCGTCAAGAGGAGAGGCGGCGGAGAAGGGGACTCTCGACTCGTACAAGGGAGGCCAGAGCGGCCGACACACATGGAACGGGGGGAGGGGACGAGGGGGGAGATGGGCCCGAGGATGGGGAATACGGAATCGTTGGAAAGGGAAGGGGCCGACGCGCGCCTCTCGATTTGTACGCTATAATGCATGCCGTTCTACAGTATCTGTCATCCGTGCGCGCGCGCTCTCGTCCATCCGACGTTACTACCGTTACCATGATCGTCCTTTTCACAGCGGCATTTGCTTCGGAAATAGGGGACGACCCCGTCTAACGCCAGGATATATTTGGGGATGAATAGCTCCCCTAGTCCTCGCGCGAGCGATCGAAGAGAGAGAGACACGAGAGATTTTTGTGGCCTGGTCCTTTGAGTCGCGTGCATTTTCGGACGCGCGTAACGTATATGGCCAAGTTTCGTAAATAATATGGTGTAATATTACGAAATGTAGGTGATAGGCATTTTAATTAATCGCAGGCGAGATGCGCATCTCGTTAAAATATTTTAGTATAAACTTGTTGCTCAATAAAATATGTTTTAAGGAGATGTAAAATACACACATACCGATTATTTTGTATAAGTTTTATCTTACGCTATTACATCTTGCTATGATTTCATCAGATTCTTCATCAGAGCTGCATTTAATCTTCGCTAGAAACGTCATTACAATCGCCAGTTACATAATTCATGGAAGTAAATCATTTCGATCATTCGTGGCCTGCAATCGGCAGCATACCTTTTGTATTTGTCAACGGCGCGTGAAAACATGAACAAAGAAGACCGTGCGATAGGATGCGAGAGACAGACGGTAGCTAAAGAAGAATAAAGAAATGTTATAAAATATTTGAACTGTTGAAATGTACAAAAACATTTGACAACATTGAAAGATTCGGCTCCGATGTTTACCTTATCTTTACCTTGCCAGAAGTTGCGACAATTTCCAACGTATTTCTAACGAGAAACATTAATTAACATTAATTTTCTGTATTGCCATTTGCGTAGGAGTTTTCAGAAAAACTTCTGCGTGTCAAGAGATGGGAATATTAATTATATGCAAATATTTACTGAACTTTATTCCTCTAACGTTAATAAATTTTATATTATCCTTCTTGTATAAAAATACAATAAAATAATAAAATTTGATAAAATTATCAGAAGCACTCTTGGTTTTGCTGTAATAAAATAACACAGAAATACATATATTTTATTCGTTCGTTTTGAAATATTTGTGCAAGAGCGAATTCGCATAAGGCCCAAATATTTGCGAGTAGGCAGTTATATGATACAAGACACACGCACATAAGAATTTCTGGCTTGAAATGAGCTTGTCTCGTTTTATATTTTCCCCAAACTAATATTGTCATTGAAACGAAAATATTTTGAAAACCTTCCCAGGGAAGGAGGAATTTTTTGCACAATTTTTTCTGGTGTAAAGCGGAACAAGATCTTCCTAAATCGTTGTTATTGTACAGATAACTATATCACTTCTATCAAAAGTCGAGAGACATAAAACTAGTAAAATAAAACGATTTTAAACCATTGTACTATTTTTTACAAAATTAGTTTTATTATTCAGCCATATATTTTCTTCAATTGAAGCATTAACTTTTACAATGATTCCAAAGTAATATTTTAACTTGCTTCAAGTTTTTCTCGCAAATTAATGGACGTTAATGGAGAGATAAATAATAAGTCTTTCAATACAGGAAAATGTTGAAAACTCGTTTATCCTTGTGAGGCTCTTCGTATTCTTTGAATTTTCCAGCTTAGTTTTGAGTTTTTATTTTTACATCTGTACTGTTGTAGGCAGATATTCGAAACTGACAAATTGTTCTCATTCTCGCCCTTTTTTCTGTCTAGAAATATTCAAATAAGACAAATGTATTTTAGAATATTTCATTTATAATTGTGATGAATAACTTTAAAAAGTTATAAAAACTTATTGAAAAATCTTGCATGTTAATATATCTTTTTTTTTTGTTAAAAGAATATAAATGAAATATGAAAACCCAGCAATCAAGAATGAAATCAACAAGATAACGTAAACAGACAGGAAAACAGGAAACCCAGAAAAACACGAAAACCCATTTTTTTATTCTTATGTTATCATCTCTATACACGATGGTTTCAATCGAAGAGACAAAAATGTCTCATGTGAATTTTTCATGGAATGCAAGTTAGTTTTAGTGTACACATTTTTCTCTTATATCTCTATTATATTTTTTTGCATATAATAAGATTTTAATCGATTGTATTATCTCACGATCGTCATAATTCGTTGGCATCACGTATCAGCGATGAGTAACGTTTTACATGAAAATGCAACATGCGCGAGCTTTTTCGATGACTCATTTGCGTAAATACATCCAAAGTATGAGAATTACTACGGATTCGGTTTCATTCATGCAGATGCCAGTGGACGTTCGTAATAATCCGCACATCCGCGAATACTTTGTATGCACATCCGTTTTTCATCGTCTCCATAGTCGACGCGATCAGGTGGACCAGATGGTCGAAAGATGACGCAATGAAAGACAACCTCGTGGATATCTTATGCAACGTGAATAAATGCGTGAGCTATTATTTACACATCTTTACATAAATTATGAAATTTTTTTGCATCGAGTCTTTATTGAAAATAAATAACAACTATAAATTTCTTGAAAAGCAGACGATGATTATTCGAACAAAGAACACACTCTTATCAATCTCGTATAATATTCATCATAACTCATTATTAACTCAATTAGCTATTTATATTTGATGATCAAATCGATTAGTATTAGTGAATTACGAATGAATATAATATCGTTGATGAATATAATACATATATATAATGAATATAATACACATTAATTTGTTCCTTTAGTGATTATACCATGTATAGAAAATCAATGGGCATTTTAAGTGTCATCTTGATTAAGATGCTATCGACAAATAATTTGATAAGTGAAATCGAAAAATCGTTTTTACTCATTTCGAAATTTTCATATAATTTATATGATTTTATTTAAAAGTCGTCACGTTATTAAAATCATCACATGTATAACGCGATGCGTCCATTGTCTCTCTTTCTTTTATGTGGCTTCTAAAAGCCTTTAAAAATTACAGCTCAGATTGATTCTCATCATGGTTGTCATTCTTTGTATGTCAGTTGTTCTCAATTGTATTTGATCATTGCATTGTTCTTGTGGATACATGTGCACTTATCTACGCAAAGAGTATTGACAATAAGATACCAAATCGATAAATTATTCTATTATAATGCGTCTAATCGATGAATGTATTATTCCATTATAATTAAGAATAATAATTTCAATTGACGAATTATGCATGTGGCCAAGTATTGTTACATAATTTAATCCAATATATAATTTTATACACAATTTTCGTGCATGTTCTAATTTACAAAAAAATCAATTTATAAATAAAAATGTGAATTTTTAAAAATTGACATTTTAAAAATCAATTTAAAAAAATAATATTTTTGATGATGATTAATTTTTATAAAATAATATTTTCTATAGTACACAAAAATGCTTTTGATAACAAAATTTTTTAGCACTTGTAGAAGCAACGTTATTTTTTTCGTGCAAAATTCTAATTTAATTATTCTAAATTTAATTGAATTTTCTATATATTTTCTGCATGGAATTTACTTAATGACCAATATATAGGTGAACGATTAGATAAGAATTCGATTGCCAGCATTTCGCAACAGATAAAAATTTAGATCCGCTTTTTTTGGGATGGGAAAGCCTTAATCTCCGCAGACCTTTCACTTCCATTCCCTATTTTTTTTTTCTTTTTTTCATTTCGGTTGTGTTGCTTGACGAAGCAATTCGATTGCGACCGCATAATTTGTTTCGCACACATGAAACTGCGATATTTCGATCTCTCAGACGTCGACTACCTAAAGGTCATCAGACCGGTTTGTTGGACGAAGTCGACGGAATTGAGAACCGCTTGCCGCTCAATCGTGTCAATTGTGACGAATGCATACCAGCTGTGCGGCCGAGTCTCCTCGCCCTTATAACGTTTGAAAAATAATAGCCTAGCCTTAAACTTTCACAGAAAGAAAGATCAAAAGTGAAAGTCGTTCACATGTCAGTCTATTTTTCTACGGTCCTTTGTATTTATTTCATATTTTAAAATCTGTCTAGTTTCAACAAATCGATTTCATCGGTATTTCTGCAAAAATGCCATAATAAATATAAAGATATAATCTTTTTTATAAATATAATAAATATAAATAATTTAATATAAATAATAATATAAATAATAAATACAAAGGCATAATATTTTTTATATTTAATTTTTTAAATCGACATTTTTGCAACAAACACAGTCAATTGAAGATGTAATACAAAGCATTATGTCTAAAAATCTAGAAGAAATATACAAAGCGCTATACATCTGGTGCCCTAGATAGATTAAGAGCAACCTGTTGCTCGTATATAGCAACGTTTAATGTTCGTTGTATTCTATACGCATGCAACGTGCGATGAGAAAAATGAATGTAATCATATTATATGAGATTAAATGTTAAACTCACTATTTGTCTCTCCTAAATTCAACAAATTAAAACGTCCGCTTCAAATGCCAACATCTCTAAATCACCATGCATTTTTCTTCCAAGGTAAATGTAACATTAAAATAGTCGCGATATGTATTATTCATGGAGTGGCTGGCTTTTCAAAAAATTTATCTCGTATATCTCTGACCACACATTTATATGAGATAAATGGAAGCATCGTCTAGACATACGACGCGCCAGAATATGCGATATACACGCATCATTCTGCATGTTTGTACCAACATTCGTCTAAACCTTAGATTTTATCTTCTCTACGTGAAGATAATTTGCGTTGCTTATGGTATGCGAATATCCGTTACGATGTATCGCGCGAACGCATCTGAATGAATTCTCACGAAGATCCGGTGGATCGTGTTAGTGATCGACCTGACGAAAAATGAGCCGTACTTTGTATCGTATCCACGCATTTGACATTCGACTCCCGCACGTCTTTGGCATAAATATATGTATTTACCGCTGCTACAAGACATAGTATCAACGGTGAGCTGCCCTGTGTCATTAAATATTGCACCATGTAGCTTAAAAAAAATGACTGATTACATAAATTATGGTTTTATTTGCCTATATGTCGACACTATTAAATTTTTGTTGTTATAATGATTTTTTACGATGAAAGAATTAGAGAGAAATAAGACAACAATAATATATTTATTTAACATTAATAAATGTAAGAAATAATATTTTTTTTTGCTGGGACAAATTATACTTATTATAATTTTTGGATATCTTATGAAACATCTAACGACAAATTCTCGTGAAATTTTGTAGACATATCGTTTTGCGAAAGTTTTGCTGGTTGCAAAATGGGTTTGTGTTATAGAAGAACGAAACGCGGTGTCTGGCTAATAAATATGAGACACAGGATGTTGCAGCCGAGCGATTATCCCTAAAAGCCACAGCTGCTTTCCAGATTTCTCGATTCTTTTTTTGCTTTTCTTCCCTTCGTTTCTAATGTTTCTTCCCTTTTCCAAGTATAATTAACGCACGCCAGGCTAGAGTAACGTTCAGGATATTTGACGAGCTACCACGAAGAATCAAGTTACAATATACACGAATAGTGCACGTGTTTCAAGCTCAAACAAACGCGCGACGCTATAAAATTTGCATTATTACACACACATACACACATAGAGTGATTCGTTCATTATATTCTCTCGTATCGGCAATAACTATCGGATAACAAAGAAGCTGTTTGCTTTTCTCGGAAATAATGATTTAAAATCATCACATAATTAACTGAGAAAAAATAAAATAGAAAATACTATTTTTTTTCAGAACTGTGTCAAATATATACATTTTGTCAATTTATTTAAATGATATATTTTTAAAATTATATTTCGTATTATAGGAAATATAAAAAAAAAGGTTTAATATATTTTTGTGCAATTTTCTACGCAAGAAATTCTCCGAAAATATTATCTTTAGAAGCAGGATGCCAACATCCGCATCAGTACTTATACTTCTCAGATTAATTAGACTTTAGATGACTTTATTGAATTAGAAAAAAATCTCTACTTAAATAATTGATAATGCAACAACTAAAAAAAAATAAAAATAAAAAGTATATTCAATTCATATTGTTGATTTTGCTTATTTCTAAAAACATAGATTCTAAATATATATATATATATATATATATATATATATATATATTGTTTATATTTTGTTGCAAAAAGTTAATCTATTCTTTTTTAAATGTTCACCATAAATAAATAATCTATAATTGCGTCTATCGATTGGTTTCGTTTGAGTTTGAACGTGGAACAAAAAAAAAATAGACGACGGTTGGCGATTTGATCAGTCACTTGACTATAGTCTAGAGTCCAAGTGCATCAACTACAGGCAAGGCACTCTTTTTCTGCTCTGGTCGCTTTCGTCATTTCCCGACTGAAAGGATATAATGAACGAACCACTGGCTCGTTGACCGAACTCTCCGGTTTCTCGGAGATATGCATCCGCACGAGAACAAAAGCTTATTGTAACGAAAACTAAGAATATCTCATTTGGAGACCCTCGTTGGGTAAAGATTTCGTATGTCACGAGACTCATATTCGCTGGAGAATTGTTATAAATACTCTAAAGATATCTATTTTCATACAAATATTTATGAACATTTATTGATCTAGGATTCTATAAACATATCCGTATATTATATATAAATGTCTATATTATTTAAATAAAATTATTTACACATAAAATCTACTTTTAAAAGAGGTTTAATGATAATAGCTAGCTCTACAAATGATTCTAGAAGCAGAAATGATTTTTTTATATGCCACGTTATATAATAATTAAAAGATAATATTATATAAAATAAATATATGTGCTTTTTTGTGATCGAGTCAACATTTTTAAACGGACGGGAGGTACAGAATGCAATAATGATTCGAATAAACAGCGAGTCGTAAAACCTAAAGCTCTAACGAACGCGACTGTTCTCGATAGTAGACCACGATTCCAATCAGAGGTCTTAACAACTTAACGATCCGAACTATTATCGAGTCATTTATCGAATCGGGAACCGTACGATCGTATTTATTGTGTACGTATATGCAGGTATGTACTAGTTTACGCACACGCGTACACTATGTACGTGATTGCACGCAACGTATACACGCGTGTCCGTACGATATATCTAGAAAAGATGATTGATTATGCATTTATGTCATGCATGTAACGCGCACACATGCTACAAATGTGATGCACGCAAGACGCATTATCTGCAATTGCAGTAAATCTCGCTAAAGTACGTTTATACGTATAAAGCGGCAATTTTTCGGCAGTGTTATAATACACGTACAAAAATGTATCTATGACAGGGAGCTCGGCAGTGTTATAACACACGTACAAAAAATAGATGTATCTATTTTTCGTACGTGTATTATAACACTGCCGAACTCCCTGCTTAATAGAATTCGCATATAATTTACGAGAGATAGCCATATTTCCAAAGTCATCACGACGTATGCTTGAAAATCGTCCCAACATATTATAATCGAGCTTTCCAGCTTACTTGTTCGATATTTGTATAGCTACCTATTAAATAGTACTATAAAAGCTTTCTACCAATATTTCCACGTAAATTCTATAATTTATCGAACATGTATTACATGGCTTGAGTTAAAAAAAATGGCTTGATTAAAAAAAAGAGATTAACAAGCAATATAGATTATAAAAAGATGACAACTAATTTAACACTTTAGCTTCCATATTACGCTACTTATAAACGAGTATTTAACAGTTGCTGTAATTGTTCAAGTTCTCAATTTACGGAAGGCTTAATATCATCCCACTGGTTCTTCAGCAGACTTTGCTCGAATGGGGGCAAGATTTTGAAACGCGCGTGACGCCTGTTCTCCAGATCTTCCGCCAACTTCTGAAAAAGCTCCTTGAAAACGTAATTGTCCAAATTTTTGGCGATGTAGTAGAGAAATAGCCAGTCGCCGAAGTAATACTCGTGAGTGACCTTGAGTACGTTCCACGGATTGTATTTGCCAGGGCAGGCCATAGAAAACATGAATTTGTTGAATGACGTGCTTCTGTAAGGAGAAAGAATCATGAAAGGGCGCTTATCACGGTGCATTATTCACGCTAACTTCAGATAATCTTTTTATATTCTTTCCTATGTGTCATATTTCATATGTGTGATATTTTTAGATATGCACGAATCTTGAATTTCGCTGACATAGAAAACGACGAACTTTATAAGCACGCTGTTAGAATATATTATTATTAAAATATATTATTAGAATATATATGATTATAAATTGTTACGAAACATTACTATAAATTGCTTCTGTTAAAATATAATTGCCAATATGGGCTAAACTTGTATTATTATTTAATAGATAAAATTATAAGAATTTTAAGATTATATATATCTTCTTGAATAAAATATAAACAAATATTCTACGAAGAATCAAGAAAATTAGTTAATTAACAAATAAAATTATGGAATAGAAATGATCACTCTTTTTTGCAGAGGAATAATACATGTCATTAAAAAGATCAAAGAAAATTTTTTTCAAATTATTATTGAAAAATTATTAAATTTTTAATTAATATTGGTTAATTTTTAATTTAAGTTACACATATCATTAATTGCATATCATATTTAAAAAGATAAGAACCATATTATTGACTTTATAGAGATTAATTCATATGCTAATCAAGTCATCTTTTATCTAAATATTAGTTTTTGATTAGGAAGAAATAGTTAGGACTGGTCATTTATTGATCAATCTAATTCTTGGCAAATTATTAGTCAGAAAATAATAATTAGAATATTCCAAGTTTTTATTAAACGTAAACTAATTATCATTTAATAATCGTCTGGTTTAACTAGTTTCTAGCTATATTTTTTCTATTAGAAAATACTCTTTTGACAGCGCCAGCTATTAAAGCTTTTATCTAAATAGGATTTTATCTGAACAAGATTTTTTAATTATAATGAAAGTTTCGAAATGGCCGAAATTGGTTGTACTTTCTAACTTTGTGTACTCAATATTTTCCAATGATATCTTTCCCAGGTAGTAAACCCAAGAATTTTCAGAGGTGAAATTAATGAATGAATGTCATAAATTTGTAAAGCTAAACCTATAAAGCTGACAACGAAAAAATGCAGAGACAAAGTTTAGTAACCTGGCGTGAAGGATCATGGTCAGCGCTCTCCAAACCAATCCCAAACCGGTTATTATTGCTAGCACGACGAACCAGAACCAAAGGACCGTATAGATCTTCTCGTTAACAATATTCAATGCCATCACGCACAACGCGTCATGCTTTTGTATGCCGCCAGAAGGACCGTATTTATGAAAAATACATTTGGTTACCTAAAAGAAAATTTGATTATATATTCATGAATACATTTCGCTCTTAATAAAGTAGTTGAGAGGCATTAGGCTATGAGCGAAATAATAATTAAAGTTGAATTAATAAAATAATCAAAAATATAAGATTTTTTTATAATTATCGAGTTTCAAAGTCTTTATAAAATTGCACATAAAATGTTGATCAGAGATTAAAATTTCAATATTTGCAAATGTCTATCAATTTCTAATTTAGCAATATATCATATTAATATTAGTCAGAAGTAAGCATTATATAATTTTGATTATTGTTATGAGATATAAAAAGTAGTTGTTACAAGTGATACAAAAAGTGAATGATATTATAAATGATATTATAAATGAAATTGTACCTTCGGGAAAACTATGTCGAGTGGATCCACTTTATCCGTAGGCCTTGATTGAGAAATCGATCGACCGAGGCCTAGGAAAGCTCCTCCGAGGAACCAGTCAGTCAAGAAAATTTGCATGATCACGTTTATAAAATTCATTATCTCGCAAAAAGTCAGTCCGTATGCCCACGGACGATTCAAGTGCAATCGGTTTATGAAACCGGTGCGAATCTGCTGTATCCTTTCATCGCGATCCTTTTTCGAAGGTATCTTTATATCATTTACATTAAGCTCCGTTTCATTCAATGATAAAGATGCCATGTGCAATCCCGAAACTAACATACTTAGCCGATTACCTGAAATTCAATATATTGCAATTTTTGTAATAAACGCTCGTAAAAAAGTGATATATTTAAAGATATTTATTTAAATATATTAAATATATTTAAAGATATATTTAAAAATATTTATTTAAAGATATATTTAAAGATATTTATTTAAATATATTAAATATATTTAAAGATATATTTAAATTTTGTAATATTCGAATTTCGATTATTATTATCGATCGATTATTGAGATATTACTGATATAACATAAAATAACTTTACAAATAATACAATGTAACGCTCTAAGTCGGATACCGTATGCAAGTGTTTTAACGATTAGATTACGACGGCAAGAAAAAGATTAATGATGATTAGCTCGCTGCTTGAGATAAACGCGGTTGTAAAACGTCGTGCGATACGTCGACGAGTATGTACGTGTGTATGCATATTCGACCTTCCATTTTTCGCCATATATAATGCGGCAGATAGAAGAGAAGCGCTTGGAAGAACAGGACAAAAGGCACCCATTGATAATAAGCGTGATGTATGACGGGGTCGCCCTTAGCCGCTGGTCCAACGCCAGGATGTGGTAATTCACCTTGCAGCACCGCGGTAGCATTCAAATGCTTCACCTGAAGAGTAAATGATCAAATTGATCGATAACGGACAACATGTATGCAGAGTAATGTTTATTCTTACAGACGGTATTATTTTCCAATTATTTCTAAAACGACGATTTGGACGATTATTATTGACGTTATTGAATAACATTTAAACGATCTATCAGCTGTTTTACAACACGCGTTACGTAAATATGTGTATGAGACATTTTTTAGAATATAATATAGATATCTTAATTTTTTAAAAAGATAAATTCGATAAATTTTGATATATAATATTGTTTTTTAATTACATGTTTGTAATTCTAATATTAAAAAATTATGCGCGTTTAATATATTTTAACGTAAAAATTTTAATTTTTCACGTGTATAAATATAATTTAAAAAATTGTCTAAATATCTTTATTTGATAATTGACAAAGAATTATTATATCGAAGTAAAACTTCATCTTGGATATTGTATCGCATTATTCAGTTTTCTGAAGATAAAACTTTAGACTTACCACGTGTATGTAAACTTACCACGGTATACGTAGACATGAAGAAACAGAAGGTCTCGACGACATGAGTAGGTATAGAGATATCGGTGATACATCTTTTCAAAACAACAAGAATTTATTTCAGATATGGTCATTATTATGTACATATAAAATTTTATGATTCTTAAAAAAATATATACCTTATATGTTCTCCGATGAATTGTCTGGAAGAAACCAAAATCGTCCCAATGAGAAGCAACATAAATGTAACCCTATAGTGTAGTCTGAAAACTAATCAGAGATATTCTTCTCAGTCATCGAAAATTTGATATAAAATGTATAATTATTTTTACAAAATACGCAACGTGATAAATTACACAGGGAACAATTAAATCATGCATAATTATTTAATTAAAAAATAGGAACCGAGAAATCTATTACCGAGATTGTCAACGGCTACCGCGTTCTGATTGACTTTGAACTTAACGTGGTTCTTAAGAACCGAAAAAGCAGCGAGAACATTGGCCGCCATGGCTATGATCTTCCACGATCTTCTTAAAATTAATCTTCTCTCGTTTGTGTCTCGAATAATTTGCAGAAGCTCGTTATTACTTCGCTAATAACCGTCACTTTTGCATCTCGTCAACACTTTGTCCAATATCTTGATGGCTGCCAAGAAACCCGAAATTCCGGTCTCGATTTATAGATGCGCGAGCGACACTTTATATTCCAGATAGAGTACCGATCGAGAACGCACTGAAAACTTGAAAGCAGTAAAATCTCGCGGTCGTTATCAGAAAAGATGATTACGAAGCGCCCTGGACGCTTCACTCGGTATTATCGAGAGCAAGCGGTTATTATTGTCAAGACATTTTATTCGTTCACAGATAAGAGCAGATAGCAGGAATTAAATGACACGAAGGCATAATCACAAGTCAACGGTATCGGATACATCTGAATTGGTAAAGAGAGAGAAAGAGAGAGAGAAAGTAATCCATAATATTATGAATAATTTCGCAGAGAGTGTGGATATATATAATACGAGATGATGACCTCTGACCCACATGTTGCGTTGTTCATCGTCGCAAAGTAATTCTTCACAGCAAATGTTTCCTCTCCTTTACAGATACTTAAACAATAGATTTCAACAGCAGGAAAATGCCAAGAAATTCCCTCGAGAAAAACACTCTTTTTCTTCAATTAAAAACAAAGCGATATGAAGAAAGTAACATATCAACAATAACAAATTTTACAAATAGTAATTAAAATTCACTGGAATATTTGTCGATTTTAAACTTATATGTTAGGATATATAAAAATAATTGTATTATAAAAGAATGTTTTCATGTATTCATGTAAATATTATTTTCATTGTAATTTTTGAGAAAATATGTAATTAAATTCTTAAATTATTTAAAATGCGTGCATGTGTAAATATATGTAAATTTCTTTCCAGTCACGTCACACAGATTTCATTTATATGTAAAATATTTGCAAATATTTTTTGATATATTTTATATGGGGATTACTACATAATATTGTCCCTTAAAAGCTGCATTTTCATTAGTTTCAAATTTCTAGGATGTTTTAATGATATGATGAAATAATAGAGAGATAACAGATCAAGTCCAATGGTCATACATCGTAATCAAACGGTGACAACAACGCGAGAAATATTACGGCTTTTATCAGAAATACTTGGCATTGTTGTTTAACCATAGCTTAATCATATCTTTCTTGATAAAAGTATCTAACCTACATTATATAAAATACAATAAACAATTCATAAAATGCGCATAATTTTTAATTTTACATTAAAACTTATTAATCAAAACGGGAAATCTTAAAATAGCAATAATTATATAAACGTAAGAGATCATCTTATTCGCTAATATACGGCATAACATTGTAGTTTACTTATGTTAGTGCCATGAGAAGGCGTACATCATCTAATAAATTAGAAGTTGTGTGATATAATAATGTGCTCGTTACACGCAGTGTGATTCCACGCGTGCCAGGCTACGAAAATATACACAGCTCGAAGAAAAACGCCCATCTATGACAAATCGTCATATATGTACTAAGCATTTTAAAACGCGAGCAGACAGTAATCCGACGTTAACGACTAGATTAGAATAATAAAGCGCTGGAGCGGTCGTGTTACACTCTGCACGTGTAACGTGACTCTGGACAAACAGCATTTTCAGAATTGGAACATGAGTTTGCTCATCTTTAGACGAACATGAATAAGGCTCTCATCAATGATAACGGAGAAATAAAAATTCCAGGAGCCAACAACGAGAACTGAATGCTAAACAATGATGTAATCACTTGCTTAAGGTTTCAAATATTACGAGATCCTAGCACATACAATTCGCGTTGCATGTTTATCATTTCATCATTCCTTCTAAAATTTCAATTAATTATTCATTTAATTTTTATTTAATTATATATTTAATTATCATTTAATTTCATTTAATTATTAAAGCTGTAAATAAAATCTGTGCTCTGATCATTGAACAATGTTAGATATTATCTCTATAAATGATTTTATAGAGATAACATCTTTTATAGAGATAATATCTAACATTGTTCAATGATTAGAGCACAGATTTTACTTACAACTTTAATAATTAAATGATAATTAAATGATAATTAAATATATAATTCAATGAAAATTACATGAATAATTAATTGCAATTTTAGAATATTTTATTTGTTTAGTAATTAGAGCATGGATTCTCGTAACATTCGGGATCTAAAGTGAATCTGACATGTGCTCGATTAATTAACACTATCGTATTAGTAAATTAATTCTTTCATTTGTAACTTGATCCAATTAATAGCTATTTCATGTCTTAATAATTATTTGAAATACTAATTAAAACTTGAAATATTAATTAAAACTAGAAAGAGGGAGAGATATTGCTGCATTCTTACTTTACTTTTGATCATACACGTATATAATACAATGTGACGTAATATTATAGGTGAAACATTTATCAACAGACTACTCGTGTAAAGTAGTTATTTGTTGAGAATAATTCATTTTTCTCCGCAAATGAAGCATTATTTTTATCTCTCGTGGGTTTCCACGTCTCCGTTGATGAATGGTTCGTGTGTAACATTATATCATTATGTTATGACATAACATGGCCATCAATTAAAACTGAAATTGCAAGATCACTTCGGTTAATTCTCGTCAAACGTGTATCTAGTTTCCCGGCGCGTAACAAGCTCCAATTACAAATCCAACTATTAACGAAGGAATCATAGGAACGATACGATACCTCCTTACGACACGATACGCGAGTATACAATGGCAATTTGAGCTCGTGTGCTCATTGGACGTATTACATATTCCTACGCTTATGCAAGGTGTCAGTTGCTAATCCGAGGATCAGTCACAGCCAGTTGGAATTTCTGTCGTTTCCAGACCCGTTCCTAGTGATAGGTAGAATAAATCTTGATTCATCGATCATTCCGAGAATACCAAATATTGACTTTGAAATACAGGTATATAACAGGTATAAAAGATTTGGGGGAACTAAAACGCATTGTCATTGAAACGCTATCGAATCTTTTCACGAAAAGAATATTATCGAATTTAACTTTAAATTTTGATAAAATGCCCGTGATTCATAAAGGTAAATAATCACCGTCTTTAATACAGGGTGACCCACGTAAAGTGTTACAAATTTATATCTCAGAAACGAATTAATTTAGAACGAAGCAATTTAGAGAAAAATGTTTCAGACAAAAGTTGTATGGTTTCAAGGGGGACATAAGATGCCATTAAAAGCATATTCAATTATAATTCAATTGTAAAGAAAACACATAATTGCTTCGAAAGAAAAAATGTAATTGTTAATTGCAAATTATATTTTTTTTTTCGAAACAATTATGTGTTTTCTTTACACCAATTCATTCCTCTCATTATTTTGTACATAAAAGTATTAAGGTAAGATAATTGAAAAATATTTGAATATTTTACAAAATATTTTACGGTTTATGTAAAATTAAAAAATGATTTCAAGCCTCATAACTTGGAAAGTACTTAATGAAAATTAACTTAATTATAGTGTTTTGGAAAGCTCTCGAGATGAGCTACAAGAATATGCAAAAGCATATAGGGTATCTCATTTAAAAAGTTGGAGGTAGCCTTCAGGTGACTCTTCAAGGTCAAACTAATGGCACCATCTTATGTCCCCCTTGAAACCATACAACTTTTGTCTGAAACATTTTTCTCTAAATTGCTTCGTTTCCGAGATATAAATTTGTAACACTTTACGTGGACCACCCTGTATATAAATTTTAATCGATTAGGATTTACTTCGACTCTATAATATTCTTGAAAAAATCTCAGACGCTTATCGTCGTCGATTCTATCGAATCTCATCAGACTCCTTTCCTTCTTTGACGAGACCACCGTGCGCAAGAAGTTCGGATCACGGGAGACGGTGAGCTGTACGGGAGACGATGCCAAGAGGGTGAGACCGCTACACCAAGCGAAGAGGTGGCCGAGAACAACGAGGGGGGGAGAGGGAGGCAAAAACTGGCAAACGTCGAAGGTGGGACTTTGACCGGCCATTGGCCCCGGCGAGTCGAGCCGCTGGCAGAGCGAACGAGTCCTCGAAAGAAAGGGTCTGTCCTCGACTGGCGTCCACGTTGAGCGTTGCCTTGCCTTACGTTGCGTACCGCACGTACGCTCGACCAACATCACCGGGGGACCATCGCATCTCGGCTCGACCGGTATTTCATCTAGACGCGGCACCGATTCTAAATCCATTCAGGGACGGATTTATACGGAAACCAAATATAGAAATTTAGGCCGTTGAATACAAGCGAGTCAATTGCAAGAGTCTTTTTTTATTTGTACATTTTTTTATCGTATTATATATTTATTTATTTTATATATTTTATATTATATATATTTTATTATTATTATATATTATATTTTATATGTGTTATATTAATTTTTTGGTTGAAATATCTCCGAAACCAAAACTGCTTTTTCATGTAAAGTTGAAACTTAATAAGATATTTGTGGAAATTATCACCGAAAATACATAAAAAAATATTTGGTAAATTTGTTTAGTATAACTTGACAATGAGTCACTGCAGGAAAAACTTTCACTAAATCATTATATTGATTTTTCGTAACTAATGAATATAAAGATATAACTACATTTTCCAAAAAGGTATTATGGAAGAATTTTATTCTTTTTTTCGGGCTCATTTACATTCCTATAATTTATATTATTATATTCTAATCGCAAATAGTACAAAAAATCCGGATGCAGAATGTATTTGTCTGCACAAAATTTTATATTCATATACTTATATCTATCTTTTTTAAGTTATATATATTCTGTGTAGAGAAATAAACCGATGCACACGTTTGCTTTACGTTTTCAAAGATCATCAGCTTCCTGTTCTGGAATGTGTGACGACCGTTCCTGGCACTTACCTGTAATTTGTAAGCGATTCGCTGTCTTACGGGAATTCATTAGATGAGGCAAATGAATATTACTGATAATGTATCTTGCATTCCACTTACGAAAGAAAACTTGTGAAATAACTTTCATATATAACATGCGGTTAGATAAAACAGAAATGATCTATGAAAGAAATCATCCGTAATTTTAATTCAATTAATCCTATCCTCGTACAAATTTGGTTATGAAATTCCTATCCAGAAAGTACTAAACCTAATTTTTTTAAGAAATAATTACAACGGAATTTCTATTGAAAGATGCAAAATTTATTTTTTCTGTTATAAGAAACAAAAATAACACTTGCTTGTTACATACAAAATATATATATATTAAAATATTAGATAAGTTGAAGGAAAAAGTTTGAAATTAGTTTGGAACAAACGCGAGCCGTTAAGCAGTTTAACGAGTCCCGCGTAAGTGGCAATTAGCGAGAGCTAATTAAATAAAATAAATAAAAATCCGTGCGTCGGGTATTAATATATTCGCTACCGATTGACACTTCGATCTCGCGCACCGAAATTCCTCGGCGGAATGTCAAGTTTCGGGCTCACGATCATTTCCCCCTGCTGATAATGACGGGCAATTTTGTACGCGCGGGAGAATTTAGTACGCTAATGCGGTTCAAGTGCAATAACGTACCTGATGATTGCGGGAGGGAGCGATTTGTGTACAATTGCTTGGACCTCGAACGCGCTCCATGCGCACTCCTGTCTCCGCTCGGTTAATCGCGGTTAGCGCACGCACGTGCAGAAGCCCTCCCTCTCGTTACGTGGCCGCCGCTTATGCGTTCGTGACGCGTAGTGAAATCGGCAGCTGTGTAGGTGGGCAGAAATCGCGACGCAGGGTCGCCGCTTTACGACCCTATTTTAGGTCCCGACATGTCGTTTCTAATCTCAGGGACAGCCAATCGGAAAATACGTAGCTTTCAGATGCTCGATTATGATCTTTACGACTAAGTCGTTTGCATCTTAATTATTGTTCTCGTCAGCTGATCGTCACTAGATCGTTTGCTCGAGATTGCACTAATGTCGAATTTAAAAGAGACGCGAACGCTCATAATATGTGTATATTTGCACTATGCACATTTTATATGATGGTGTAAATTCGAGATAAAAAAGTCATTTCTGTTATTTTGAATTTTATTTTATTTTTGTCGCGTGTCATACAATTTTAAAGATATAATAAAAATAAAAATAAAATGTTTATGCGATTCGAATAAGAATTAATCTTAAACTTACTTCTATTTATCCATATTTTAGTCTTAAATGTTAAAAAAAAAGCTTATAATAAATAATGAATTTTCTCTACATTTCCTCAAATTAAGTGTAACACAGTTAATCCGCAGAAAATCCACTCATCAAAGTAGGAAAATTTGGAAAGTTGTTTACAATTAAAGAAACATGTATATCCCTAATGCGTCCTATCTGCTAATGAAATCGATTAGTGGATTCTTCGACAAGATTTCCTCCTACACCCACGTCCTTACTTACCGTTGACCTAGTAAATTCGCGCGCACTATTAGAAGAGGGAAACGGGGTCACCGAGAAATGTCAGAACAAATGGATTACGTTGCTATAATCGTTGATATTTATTAGAGTTTTACTTCACAAGAAAACATTTCGTATTAAAATATATCTATGTATATATAACATTCATTCCTTAGGAGGGCAGTGTGTTTTCTGAATCCGCACATTATGAATATCACGCGCGGCTCGAAGAGCGAAGACAATGATATATGCAGTAAGTAAAAAGATACACATATATATATAAGAATACGTAATTTCCTACGCGACGATGTACATACATTGACCCTCGTCCTTCGAGTATGTCGGGTATGCGCTCCTCGTTCTCGGCCTTAAAAAGTCATTCTTAGTCGCGGCGATTGGAGCCTCCCCGGGAGGGGGGAGAGGGGTGATAATTTCGAAATCAGATTCCACGCACACACGCATGAAAATGACGCACGTACCGTTCTCTTTTTTTTCGTCGAACGACAGCGACTGGCATGCAATATGATTTTTTTTTTCTCGCCTCTGCATCGAAAGTAGAGAACTGGAATTGTACCCCTCGATCACGAATAAGAAATACATGATACACGATGTATGACTACCGTTTCCTTAAGCCCTCATATCATCATATCGCAGATAGTATATAGATATTATCTCTCCTATTTTTATTTAATTGATTCTTGTAAATATTTAATAACGACAGAAAAGGAAAAGATATCCTAAAAAAAGGCGATGCGTCAATCTCGCTTATATCTATCTAGATTATTGTGTGCGCTGCAAGTCGACACGTTTGAAGATATGTATAAACTATACTATATTCATATATAATATATATACTTCGTGTATCTCTTTCCACAAAGAGACACTCTTCTCTCTCTCCTATATATTTTTACTATATAATATACTATATATATTTTTATATATATCTTTTTTTTCTTGTCTTATTATTGTGCAGTAGGCGCGATAACACGTGCTTGGAGGCGATCCTTTCTTCTTTTTTCTCTCTCTTTCTTCCAGATACATGTGGAAATTGGACAGAGTGCGTGCATGTCATCGATATGTCACGTTGCACCTACCGCTGGAAGCGCCGTATCGTAAAATCGCGAGCGAAATAAAGCGAGAGTTCTGATCTACGCTTGGCAGGATGTAGGCACTTTTGGTGATGAATTATACGGCATATAATTATCTAGTCGCGATACATTTTGTATTTCTCGATTAATCCCGGAGGTACCTGTGCTTGCTTGGTTGTGTGCAATTGCAGTTTCACACGCACTTGATTAACAAACATTGTTTATTTCAACATTGTATATTTAAATTTCAATTTAGTTTTCACACTATACAATCTTTTTCCATTTTTTTTCATTTAATAATTAATAATTAATTTATTATAAATTAATTAATTATTAAATGTAATATTTTTAGAATTTAAAATATCTGTTAAATTGAGATCTTTAATTTGTGTAAATAAATTTCGCGGAGCGAAAATAGATTTGTATAAGAAGTGGATTATTTCGAAAACACCGCAGACTTTATTGGAATGTCAATTAATTATTGAAAGGAATGTCTCTTATATCTAACATTAACCAGGCACTTATTATTAGTCGTAACTCACATCACGCGATCATTTTTCGCAAAGTTCATAAATTGAATAATAGAAATAATTTTTTGAAGGAATGAAAAATGCATACATTGATCAGGACAATTATTGCCGTAAAAAACAACAGAAATCAAGCGAAACGAAGAAGAGAACGCCCATCCCGACAAAAGAGAAAAATATATAATAATATTATAATATATAATAATATTATGCAAAAGATCTTAGTGCGTTCTTTGATCAATCGTTGTTCGAAAAATTAACAAATCGAGCAAAGTAACGCGATAATATAATAGCGGATAACGGCGTTGTATTCATAATAATAACTCTATATCTCGCGTATATCTAAAAGTGATACAAAATCACGGCGACGAGCGAAATGTTTCGATTACCTGGCAGTCTTACTTTGAGCATAGATCTCTCTCAAAGAGGGAATGTTTTAGATGGCGAAGAAGCGAATTATATATATATATATATATATATATATATATATATATATATATAATTACATATATATATATATATATATATATATATATATATATATATATGTAAATCGTGTCACGCGCCTTTTTTTCTTCCTCTAATAAAATTCCGCTAACGTTACAACTATCCATTCATTTGCTTCATACACGTTTAACGCGTTCGAATCGAGACTCAGGTATTTTACCTGAGAATTTTACATGAGAAAGATATCGGAATATCTGTATTATGTAAATGTATACTGTAAATTTCACGCTGATACGCTAATATCAGATTGACGGTTTTTTCTAGAAAATAGAAGATCTTCGGAATCCTTGTGTTTGAAATTGTGCATTTGTAAATTTATTTATTTATTTATTTTAAAGAAATCTTTATTAAGTTTTTGTTTTATTCTCTAATAAAAAGATACGAGGGATTGTGATGTCATTTTACATATACAAGCGTGTCTATACAAGATTAAGATAAGGAGACACGAATTGTGTTAAGCCGATCGTATCGGTTTTCTATAGTAAATAAATCGCGAGCTTTTAACATCGTACAATTCTCAAACATTAGTACCGTATCGTAAACGTTATAAGTCTTTTATAATCGTGTTATCTCGATATTGCTTTTGATAAAACTTTGAAAATCGCCTGAGTTAGGGGGCTGTCAACTTGCCCCGCAAATTCACAATGTTTCTTACGAAGAAGAAAAGTATCGCCGATAACGGTATCATAAAAACTATTTCGGCTTCTATTTCGTATTTTCGAATCATACTAGCGACGCAACGTACTCGGATCGGAATACGATATTAGGTATTCCATGCGACGCACACGCATACGTGTCAACGGGATATTAAAACAGTATCGAATACATTGCGCGTATAAAAGCTGTATAAAATATACGAACGTTAAAAAATAGCGTTCTTCATTCATTTCTATGTACGAAGTGTTCCAATCATTTTAAACATGATGCCGATTTAACTAGATCAACAACAACTCGTCTTATCATTCGTGAATTTATATTCGTAAATTATTTATAATTTATGAATGTTTTTTTCTACGCCTAGAGATATTTACGTGACAATATTGTGTTATTAGAGCATCGCCTTCATATTACAATATTACTATAATCGTCGATTCTCATGTGATAGCACAGTCTTATAATATAAAAAAGACAAAAAAAGTACTAAATTTGAGGAATGCTTGTATATAGCGTTCCTGCTTGGTCCCTCGATACTTGTTGTTTACATCATAAATTTGTATCAAAAGAGAATTGACGATGAATATCTCTTATGTAATATTACAACACTTGGTCCCTCGATACATTAATTTTACATTGTATAAAAAACGGAAAGCACTGACGCAGATACAATTATAATTAGTTCGAATTGTGCGTATGTCTTTTAAGGCGTGGAATGATGAAGACGGAAGACGCGCGTTAATATCTACACTCATACACGCACACATACACACGATTTTTTCCCTCTCATTCCCTCTCCTCCCTCCTCTCTCATTTTCTTGTTCTCTCTATGCTCATATACATGTACAATTTTTTTTTCTCTCTCTACTATACCTACAATATACATATGTATTTCTATACGATACTTTTAAAATATAAGAAAGATCAAAGTGCGTAAGAGTAGCGTAAAGAAATCAAAAGATAGGGTTTGGCGGGGGGCGGCGCGTATGATTCTCTTGCGTGAAAGAGCGATCGAAAGACCTACGTAATTCTAAATCGAGAGAGAGTTCGCATAACAAAGAATGTTGAATCTTTTACTGATCTTTTTCCGACAGGTAAACTTGACGCAGGCTCTTCGCAAGATAACAAAAGCGGAAATCTCTCTCTGTCTGATACACGCGATCCATGTTAGGTGCATCAGGTATTTGTCGTTGGTCAATCTTATCTCTCTGTCGAGTTCGAGATTCAGTTTTCAACAGGGAGACCAAAAACAAGCAGCAAGGAAGGTGAAAGCGAGAGAATAGAACCAAGAGATGACACGCCGTCCCCCGCTTTATCACACGATCCAAGTCTAACGAACGAAGGTTTCCGAGGTGCCGGGAAGACCTCGCGCTCTTTTAAGCTCTTTCACAGGTGCTTTTTTTTCTCTCCTCTCGTTTTTTGTCAAAGGACAGCCTTTTGTCTACGCGATATAAAGCCCAAAATATTTTGAAAAAAAAAAAGAACAATAAGGATCTTTTTCTAAGATGTAAGATTAATCTCCTCTGTGACGGCCTTGCGTTTCCCTCTTAGATTTTCTCGTTCCGCTCGTATTATTCTTACAAGGCAGGTCGTATCGTCACGAACAAGACGTTCGCTTTTGCGACTCGTAGGAATGCAAGCGAGGAAGGCGGTGAGGCGCTTCGTGGAAGACGCGAGGATTTTTATTCACCGCGTGCACACACATGACCATAGGACGTTGGTGTTACGAGGGGCTTTATCCGCAAACTTTATGTACACTTTGCCGCAAAGAACACGTGTGAAAGAAGGCAACTCGCGCGGAGCAACAAAGCTGCTTCTATTAAATTTTTTTTCCATTTAGCTCACTAATTTTGACGAGGAAAAAATAAAAGGATAACGAAATAATATTCTTAATTAATTTTGATTACTTATTGGAATTACAGAAATGTAAATTAAATTGTAGAAATGTAAATTAAATTGTAGAAATGTAAATTAAATTGTAGAAATGTAAATTAAATTGTAGAAATGTAAATTAAACTGCTGAAAAGCTGAACCGCGCGATTGTTTAAATAACGAGTTCCTTATATGATGGCAAGACTGATCATCTGCTTCGTAAGAATATTCGCGAAAAGAAACGTTTTACGCAAGTGCGTCGGACGTTTAAATTTCATAAAAATAAAGAATGATTTATTTTTTGCAATCACATTCTCTGCAAAAGTAAAATGTTTCGATTGAAAAAAAAAATAACACGTATTATAAGAATTCCAAAAGTTTTTTCGACGCTTCCATCATTATTACGTATATAATACGAAAAGAAAAAACACGAAAAATTAAATCAATAAGCATTAGACGGCAAGAGTTCGACCATTGGAGGTCAAAATCTTGCCCGAGAAAATCCAAGAGGGTGTAACGAAATAAAATGAAGGAAGCGGACAAACGTAGAAATAAGTGGAATAGGCGGATGTAAAATCGATGGGAAACTCTCGGCGATGTGAAAGGATTCGAGGAGAGCTTCGACGCGAAGACGAGGAGGAGAGGCGAGGGGGCGGGCGGCGAACGGCACGCTTTGTCTCGACCGTAAACCTACCTGGAGAATGGAAGCGTGTACTCGCGCGAAAGAGAGGAACGGCGAGATATAAAAAATGTTGGTCTAAGAGAGAAGAAAAAAAAAGAAAAAAAAAACTAACTACCGAGGCCAAATTGCACCGACGATACTAAACTGTTCCTCCTCTTTGTCTCATCTCGGAGGAAGAATTGAAAACGTGGGCAAAGAAAGCGACTTAAGCTCTACTCTTAATAATAAAACTAGTTATTAATTACCTACGCGAGAAAGCAATAAACTTTATTAACCCCAATTTGTTAAGCGATTAACTTTGAATTGACTAAACTCTCGCTTCTTTACCGACGTGTGAGTTTTGCAGGAGCCTACGTGAATCGATTATTAATCTGATTTATTAATTAATGTCGATCGTACTAATTCAAGATATGCTTGATCGAATCGAAAATCTAAGGAAAAGTAGAACCAAAGTCCGATTAGTCCCCGAGATTCTCTTCTTCTTTTTTCTTTTTATAAAATATACTACAAGAAGAGATAGGAAATTATTGACCGGAGCACCGGTGCAATTCGGCCCAAGACGCTAATTCCTCCGATCCTCGTCTTCCCAGTACTTTTGCATCCGCGACAAACGGCTCTTCGTCATTCTTGTCTCTAGTCCGGAGACTCGGTCCTACCGTTCGCTTCCTCTCACCGTCGAGCATGGCGTCACTCTGATAGAGGAGACGAGGAATCCTTCGAAGGACTCGTCGAAGGACCTCGAAGAGGTCCTTCCCGATCGTTCCGTGCGATCGTTACACGTTCTCCTTCCCCTGGAGCTTGATGGCGAGGTCGGCGATGAGCTGCTTGTAGACCAGGGGATCGATGTTCTTGCCGAGCTGATAGAGAACGAACCAATCGCCTATCTGGCACTTGTCGCTGATGGTTTTCACCTGGTCCTGCGGTGACAGACGCGAGCGAGCTCGCAACAGCACCATCCGGAGCTTGGGGCCGAGTAGGACAGCCACGCGATAGAAGAGACTGAGGCCGCTCAGGGCCGCCAAGATGATGAACCAGAACCAGAGGAACACGTAGATCTTCTCGTTGACGATGTTGAGCGGCAGCACGCAAAGACCATCGAACTTCTGCACCGTGCCGGACGCACCATATTTGTGGAATGTGCACTTGGTCACCTTCGGGAACACCCGGGACATGGGATCCATGCGCTGCTCGGGCTCCAGCTCGGTGAACCTGAGGACCTCGGAGCCGTAAGTGGTGAACTCGCCGTCCAGGAAGAAGTCTATGAAGAAGATCTGGCCGATGACGTTGACGAGATTCAGCAGCTCGCACAGGAAGAAGCGATACGCGTAGAAGTTCTGCGAGTGCAGATTCGAGGTGAAGTATTCGACCAGCAGCTTGCGCCGGTCGCTCTTGCAATCCTCGCTCACCACCGGGCAATTAAGATCCAGCACCAGCATCTTGATCCTACCGCCCTCCCATGTCTTCCACAGGTAGCGCGGGATGTAGAAGAGGATCGCTTGGAAGAAGAGGGTGAAGCAGACCCACTGGTAATACTTGTGATATTTTACCTCGTCCTCGCCCTCGACATGGGCGGCGACTCCCGGCTGCACCAGGTCCTTGCCGACGATGCCGGTTCGATCCGGGATCGTGAAGGTCGAGTAGATCCAGCAGTAAGTATCCATCACGTGGAGCGGTATCTCGTCCACGATGCAGTCGATCGGGTCGCCGATGTATTGCCGGGAGGTCACCAGCAGGGAGAAGATGATGAGTCCGATGACGGTGGCCTTGTAGTGCAACCGGAACACATTGTTGTCGATGCACACCGAGTCGAGCTTCAGCAGCCCCTTGACGGAACCGAACACGTCAAACATGGTGGCGACTGTTGTTGCTTCTTTCCTTCGCTATCTAGATTTCTTCGATTCCCCGTATACCACGTGTAGGCACACACGCACACGCGCACCGCGTACCAGACTCGTCGTGCGTCCGGTCGCCCACCGTACGGTTCGAAGTCGCAAACTCGATTTGGTCCCTCGCACGATGCGACGCGACAACGTCGTGCGCGCTCGGCAGCTTCCGCGCTCCCTCGTTTCGCGCTCGTCAACCACCCCTCCGACAGCCCCTGCGCTGGCGACAGCGGCGGCGTCAATTCGCTCGGACTCGCACACGTGCGCTCTGCCCGTGTGTTACGCGCGACGACGTTCGGCTCCGCGTTCACGCGCGCGACCAACAGCCTATCACGCTACCGTCCCTACGCGCGACGTTGCAAGCGTCACCGAGCGGCTCCGTCGTAATGGCCGCGCTCGAGACGAGAGACGCGACACGAGCACGCGAGGACACGGCGTTCCACGAGCTGCTCCCTTTGCTCCCTCTATCTCTTTTCCCTCGTCCCGTTTCGCTCGCACGATTCTCCGTCTCTCTCTCCCGTTCTCTGGCTCACACAGGCCGGTCGGGCACCAACAACTGTCCGTTGCCTCTGCGGCGCGCGGCAAGGAGACTCTACCCCCACCTACGCCACACCGACTACCTCGGACCGCGCTATACGTCCGTCCTCGTCCCTCCACCTGGCGACGGATCTCGTCGACGCTCGGCGCTCGCTCGGTCGCTCTCGGCCCGCGCTCGGCGAACTTCGGGGATCCTCGGCCTCGCCGCGACGACCGCACGACTCTTGGCATGGTTGTTACCATGGCGACTGGCTACTGAGGCTGCGGAAGCATGGGATTCTTCAAGCACTTTGCTCCGTTTTGCACGCTGTCGATTAGCGCTAATCGTTTCAAATGCCTCGCTCGCTTTTCCGAGTCTTTGTTTCAGATAGAGAACCGTGTATAATTTGTCAAAGATTGTTTTCTCATCTCGCCGCCTCTCCAATTCAAGTTGAGCTGATGTTTTAGCTGTTAGTAAAGAGAGAGGGGGATCGCGCCATCGATGAATATTAATTATGAATAACTGATTTTTTGTTTAGATTTATAGCGAGAAGGGGACATGATATATTCATATAATGATAAATAGCCAAACTGGTTTCTTAAACAAGTTAATTTTCGAATATCTTCTCTCTCTCCTCACCCTCTCATTTACATTTCGCATGTATTTTAGAGATTCTTTCTCGCATAAAGTATCTTAAAAGATATATATAGAGAAAAGCTTTATTAAAATATCGAAAATTCATCTAAAATATAATCAAATTTAGACTAGTTTCTTAAACAAGTTAATTTTCGAGTATCTCCTCACTCTCTTGTTTACATTACACGCGTATATTTTAGAGATTCTTTCTCGCAAAAATATAGAGAAACGTCTTATTAAAATATCTAAAATCCATCTAAAATATAATCAAATTTACACTGATTTCTTAAGCAAGTTAATTTTCGAGTATCTCCTCACTCTCTCATTTACATTTCGCATACATTTTAGAGATTCTTTCTCGCATAAAGTATCTTAAAAAATATAAAGAAACGTTTTATTAAAATATCTAAAATTCATCTAAATCTATAATCAAATTTACACTGGTTTCTTAAACAAGTTAATTTTCGAGTATCTCCTCACTCTCTCATTTACATTTCGCATATATTCGCATGTATTGTAGAGATTCTTTCTCGCGTAAAGTATCTTAAAAAATATAGAGAAACGTTTTATTAAAATATCTAAAATATAATCAAATTTAGACCTTTAAATTCATGTAATATGTTCCGAATGGAATGATAGAAAAGGATAAGAAAAATAAACAGGGATACGTGTTTGCAAGTATATCGCGTGATATCTTGTTACGCGATAAGTCGCTTTAACATTTCCTTCGTAGGTCAGTGGCATACGATTGTTACGTTTCGGAATCTGACGTAATCCATGAATGAAAATGGGCGAAAAATTGCGCTGCCTCTTTTTATTTAACGCGCGCAGCACCGCGTGACAAAACGCTTTTCGCATGACAATCGATGATAATATCTCTCCTATCCTAAACGCGAAACTCTCTCACGCCGTTTGACATTTATCCCAAGAAAAATGTACGGGGATCTTACAACGCGATGTAGAATATACAGCTGTAGCGTGCGCGATAATAATAACGTTGCACACTATTCACGATAAACATGTTACATCAAGAAAAGCAACGGTAGCATCCAGGCCGAGGAATTTGGCAGGCCTCCCTCTACTTTCGTTTTTTGTTTCCTTTTCTCTTTTTTTCTCGATACAAAGAGCAAAGGTCGCCTTCAAGAAGAGACCTTTTCCATTGTCAGGAAGAAACCAGCATATACTATAGGCATAGAGGCAGTTTATATATTAGGGACATTGGATTATAATATTCAACTCTTGATTATTATGTTAATTAACTTTGGTATATTTACTTGTATCGCAAAATTTTCGAAGAATCATGGAGAAAAGAAAATATTTTGCGCGCAAATATTTATATCATTTATCGATGTATTTAAATATAATTATTATATATATTTAATTATATTTAATATATTTAATTTATATAGATATAAATTAATTACATTTATATGTAAATAATAAAATATACATATAAATTAATTATATTTATAATAAAATTAATATACATATAAATATATATTTAATATATATTTAATATATATTAAATATATATTTAATATATATTTAATATATATTAAATATATATTTAAATAATTTTTAATTGCAAGCCCTCGGCTCATTAGCAATTAATAAATATAATATAGCAGGATATTTCTAATAATATGCAAGGAAACACGCATTTATATAAAGATGTAATAATAATTGTTACATAATTGCTAATTCCATTCATCCCGTGCATCGAATCGTAAATCATTCATGACCATTGGACGCGCGTGCGCTAAAAATAGAGCCACTGTAATGAAGCCTCTGCCTCTACTGATTAATTATTCTCACTAAATCTATATATAATACATATATCACAGTTTACCGCTTAGACTAAGCTCCCTATCGAAGATAAGGATACTTCTGCGCGAGACATCGTGTTCGTATATCGTCGAGTCCACGAGTAACGTCAGCGCGATAACGCTATCTGCTAAGCAGCGCTATTGTATTTCGTTGGGAAAGCATTAGTCGGAGCGATATAGCCAGCTGTTTGAGTCATCTCGTAGAACAGCGCGTCCGGGCCATCTCGTTATCTTCCGCTCAGGTAGGACTTAGACAGGCGAACACGGGTTAGATGAATCAGCGAGCTGCATCGCGGAAAAGAGGATCTTTAATCCTATGTGTGGTAGCGCTCTTTAAGAAGGGGTCGCAAAATGCAAGGACTCAAAACCGGTTGAGTTCGGCCAGTCGGTTCCTTTTTTTTGCACGCGATAAATAATCGCTTTATTTATCTCTATACTCTATAGTATATGCCGAAAAAAATATATATTTTATTTGGGATCGGAAATTGCGAATGTTTTCTATGCAAACGTTTTTAATTGCTTTAATTGCATAAGTGATCTATATAAAAAATAAAATAAATAAACACAAAATATATATATATTTTTTATTATATAATTTATAAGTATATTTTTAATATATTATTAATATATAATTATTAATAATATATATTATATATTATTAATAATATATATTATATATTATTAATAATATATAATTTATTCAATTTATTAATATATTATTTATTATATAATATACATATATATATTTAAAAAAATTTTTTTTTACTTGATTAGCACTGGTTTTGATTACTGATGATGATAAATCTATTACGTTTTATTTAAAAGAGCGGAAAAATGTATCTGAAAAAGGTGGAATTTATTGAAAATGTGTGTGTGATTGTCTTTATTAGAGATGTGTTGTGATTTATCATTTCTTATATAATCTAACACGTCTTATTAAAGTCGTACAGCTTCTGAGGTAAGTTTCTATATTTTTTCTTTGTATACAATATAATGTTAACTGATTCGCACACACAGTTTTATGTGATTGCAACTCAAGAATATAACGATAAAATAATGATATCACTTGATCAGTGAAAAATATAGATAAGATCATCATAAATCATATTTCGTATCGTACAATCTCGAAAGAATAATAACTGTTTCTTGTTGATATACGGCATTTATTGATTATACGAATTTATTGATTATAAGAAACAAGACTGAAGAGATAAAAACCATAATATGTATTAGGATTACAATCTTCTAAGCTCGATATTATATAATGTATGTACACATTATCACAGTACTATACGCAATAAATCGCTACACACGTAATTTTACACGTGCCTGTGACTTAGATACATGACATTTAGTTTTTGCGCGCGTATTTTTGAAATAATATTAATTCAAGTATTATTTTTATCTCTTTCATTCTAATGTAATTTAGAAAATTATATTTATATCTCAAGTAAGTTTTCAGAATAAAAACTGCGATTAAAAAGAGGCTATTACTATTTCTTGAAAGATTTAATAAATATACATTATCATATCATTAGAAGAGACAATTGTAATTTTACATAGAACGTATAAACGAACTTCAATACGAGCACAATCCGAGAAAATATGTGCTGGATAATCTGAATTCATTAAATTTGGCAAACTGAAAACAAAAAATATCGTTTTATATAATTATTGAAATGATGAATATGAAATATTTGAATCATTACAAAAAACGTATACTCAAGGACGGTCCTGTGGCGCAACGGATAACGCGTCTGACTACGGATCAGAAGATTCCAGGTTCGAATCCTGGCAGGATCGTATAATTATTTTTTTTCTAAATTTGAATATATACAAAGTAAATTAATTAAAATTAATAATTTTTATTAATATCTAGGAAACAAAGATTTTTATAAATATACTAAAAGAGTAAAATATCTTTTAATCATGAAAGAAATAAAATACTTCTATCTATTCGCTTATTCTAGTCACTAATTATTATAAATATCTTAGAATATTTAGAAAATAATTTATTTATAAATAAAAAAGAAAAAGAAAGGAAATATTTCATGAAAAACTAGTGTGATATTTCAATACATACTTACCGATATTTTTCAAACTTAACATATTCGCAAAATTTAGAATTAAAATAGTTTGACTATTTTATACCTTCTATATCACACCTTTTTATATCACACGTAATTAATTTTTTAACTGATTTCATATTTTTGACATATGATTTAAACAATTGATATAACTTTATATATGTGTTAATATTATTATTATTTATAGCAAAATTATTCTGTCTAATACTGTGTCTGTTTTTGTCTTATATGTCATTTTATCACGTATACTTTTTGTCGCTATCACAGACGCAATATGTGTAAAAGATACTTATTTGATGTCATATTTAGCACTAATTGCCGACGAGAATATTCATTGATGTCAAATAAATTAACCCATCGTCGTTGATTTTCTCTGTATGAGAAACAATAGTAGAGCCAAGAAAGATTAATTCTAAAAAATCCAGCTGTTATTTTGATATGCAATGTGTCTTAATGTCTACGTTAATTAATGAGAACTATATTTTTGAACTTTTGATATTTCGTTAATTCAGAAATAGATAAAAGGAACATAATTACATCTCAGAGATAGAAAGCCACATTTTTTATTAACAAATTTTTCCAAACGATCTCAAAAATTCTTATCTTAAAATTTTTTTAAAAGATTAAAAAATAGAAGAGAATATATCATGTTTTTAGATTTAATGTGCTTTGTTAAATGTTGTAATTTTTCATTTAATTCTCTCGTTAAGTATATTGAAAAAACTAAATATTTGATTGCAATTTTTAATTTTTAATTATTAACATTATATATATGACATGTACTTTCTTTGACAATTCCATTTCCTGTAATTAAGTTCTCCTCACAGAGAACATTGAAGAAAGAATTACCTACATCTGATTTTATAATAATCTAATAATAATCAACAATTCCGGTTGTTGTACCCTTTCAAAATTCGAGGTCGGTGATCCTCTTGGTATTTCAAGTCTCAGGAGTTGTATTCGTCTTGAGAAAGAAGCTACCTCGACCAGATGAAGTCATCACGAACTCTTGTTAATTACATTATCCCACGCTACCTTTGTTACGTTAACACAGTTTTATAGGATATTTTTATCTCGAGACTCGATATATCGTAAAGTGCTTTTTAATAACATCAACTTGAGAAATTATAGATTTTCAGCAATATTCATTTGCTCCAAATTTTATATTTACACAAGAAAAAATAATGTCTGTAATGTACAACTTTATATTTTATACGCAAAACATGTTCGTTAAAATTTACTCTTTTGTTGCAATTTCCCTTGTAATATATACATCTTGTTAATTACGTTTTCAGCTTTTAAACATCTGAATGAGTCATATACCTTAAAAATAATAATGGTCATTTCAGGTCGACAAATTTCGAATGGAATTTTGACAATGCGATACGAACTGGTCAGGTGAGAGCGTTGCTATGAATCAGCTCAAGAATTTTTGACCGTACACGATGGGTTTCTCTTACCTGCGGTCTGCGGGTAGGCGTCGACGCGGCACGATTCTCGATACATCAGCTGGCACGGGTACCTGTAGCTCCACTCTATCTTTCTCTCGGTCGAGGGGAACGAGGGTAAGACGGAGAGAAGGATAAGAGAGGAAGAGAGAGAAAGAAAGAAGAGAGGGCCGGTTTTTCTGGTTTTCCACCTCCGCAATCCGGTGGTCTCTCTCCTGTAGTCTCCTCTCGTTACCTTTGCACAATGAGACGTGTACGCGTCTTCATACGACGATCCGATAAACGAGAGAATAACGTATATATTTAGGAAAATTTATTAGCATTCTGCTAACTACAATAAAGTACGTCTCGCTCTCTCATTCATTACTTTCGCTGCGTATTATATAATAGTATAGCGTCGACAGACAAATCTCAATATACGAATAATTACTTAGTCATTGATACTATACGAATAATAATAATAGTATATGATACATAATATATGAGAAAGAAAGATACACCAAGTATATAATAATATAAAGTACAGTACAGTATAATATAATAATAAAAGTAATAATTTAAATAATATGTAAGAAAAAAATAAAACTTATACTTTTACAAAAATTGAAGTTTTAGAGCTTGTTTCATTGTGCTATAAAATTCCTATCTTACAAGAATTGTTTCATGAATCATAATCCACATTCTATTATATCAAAGAAATTAATTTAAAATGTTGACTTAAATGTACATTAAAATACACCTGCGTGTGTCAAACATATGCGTACCATTTGCAAAGTTCTTATGTCTATTTACTCGTAATACTAAGGGCAAACATTGGTAACAGAGCAAGGCTATGATATATCGCATAATGTATGTACATATACTATGTAAAAAAACGAGATTCGATGTATAGGACTTCAATCATATGATTCTGACGTAATTGAGGCTTTTGCAATCAACGACAAGCGGATGCATTTAACATTGAATTACAAGGTATATCTTTTCATGGTTAATTGTAATTAATACAGTTCCATTGCAAATGAAAATGTACTTTGTGACTTGACTTATACAAAGGATTCTTTCGCTAAAGTAATTTGAAATTTTATAAAGGCAAAATTAATGTACATAATGGAATAATCTTAAAACGCGATTGAATAATAAAAATAACCGCTTGAAAATATTGTAAATTTCTAAAAAAATTGACCAATTATTTTTTTTAATTAATATATATGTAGATATTTAAATATATATATATATATATATATATATATATATATATATGTGTGTGTGTGTGTGTGTGTGTGTGTGTGTGTGTGTATGTTTTATAAATATATAAATATATATAAAGATCATTTATATTTTCTTCATTTTACAAGAGAGGGGATATACATTTATCGGTTAAATTATAATTTACTGATTGACAAAGGTATGTCCAATACGTACATACACACATGTACGTCCTATTTATATAAAATAAATTTTAGTCTTCACCATGGTCTCTCATGTAAATTCCTAAAAAAAATACATCTATGGAAAATATAATTATTTATTTTTGTTAAAAATCTAATCATATAAAAAATACATAGTTACATTAGTTATTTTTGTTTTTTTTATTTTTTTAAAAATCTATTAATTACTCGAGAAAAATAATAATTAGTAATAATTTTTCATGTCGTGACTTTGTTGATTCCACTAAAAGTTACATAGCTCAAAAAAATGATACAATTATCTAAACAAAAAAAAACTAAATAATATTTTAAAATATGTAAAAATACATATAATGATAAATCTGTTTCCTCTGATATCTATATATGTTAACAAATTTCGTAATTTATATAATTTATAATTTTTTTATGTTATAAAATATTGATAAAAAACCGTCCACTCCATTAAAAAAAAAATAATTTTGCAGGGATCTTTATATATTTCGCGAATATAAGCTTCAACTTACATTCCACGATAAGTTTCTCGTAAAAAAAAAAAAACCAATTAGCTGATATGATAACTGATACACATAGAAACTAATATATCTATACTGCAGTTTAATTATAACACTTCTTTACTTACGCGATGGAGTGTACTTGAGAGCGAAATATTTACAGTGACACGCAAAGCCAAGAAAGTGCTTGGAGAGGTATCCCTGAAGCAGTTTCTAACGAGCCTCGCTGTGAATAACAATCCGCAATATTTCTGAAGAGTCAGCAGACTGTTGATCGAGGATGGCTACGTCTGTAAGTAGTCTTGTCAAGATTGATTCACACGATTCTTGCTGAAAAGCACCGAAATGATGTAGCATAATATTTGTCTTTTTTTTCTTTTAGGAACGCGAACGATTGTATACCCCGAGCGAATGGAGTAAACGATATGGATCCGAAGAGTTGCGTCAGCAATTCTTTACATTTTGCGCAAAAAGTAATATAGCAGTTTTATATCAAGCTCTTTTGCTGCTAGCTTATAAAGTAATCACATTGCGATAAATTTGGCGTGAATTTTGTTAAAGTTTTCCTGATTTCACTGTGTGTGGAAATTTGTCCGATACCATTTTATTACTAAAGGAACTCGTTTATTTATTATTACAGTTACGGGAAAGGTTCAGAAAACTATAAAATGCGAACTAAATGTGCCATATGACACCACGGAGCGTACAAAATACGATATATACGGCACCGATTTACCTGAAGGTACGTAACAATTCTATAATAAGACACATGACATTACTTGAAATACAAGTGAATAAAAAAAATAAATAAGATAAATTATAGAAAGTATAGACTCGGATATAAATTAAAAGGCTAAATAAGGATAAAGGAAAATTTATATATTTATATATTATTTATATATTAAGTTAATAATTTACTCTGACAATCACATATTACTTTATTTCAAACTGATGAATTCAATTAAATTGTTATTACTTGTTATAAAAGCGTGAATTATATAAGCATTTATCAGGTTTGCGTATTGAAGGTTTGTGAATGAATAATTTATAAATTATATATCATTTATTTATAGATAAATGTAAATTGGCAATTGGCAAGAAAAACACTCTATTCCGATCTAAGAAATTCCATCTTATTTATTGGAAATAGATTTTTTGTTTGTCAATATCTGAAGATATATATATGTTATGTTGAAATAATTTTGTTATATGACCTACAAGTTTTATATCCTTTCAATGATAAATGTTTATATATATACTAATAACGTTTCAATTAATTCAATTAAATTCAATTTGAAATAAAATAGTATGCGACTATTAAAGTAAACTGTTATTAATGGAAATGTTAATATTTTCGTCTAATGCCTTTGTAAGCTGTTAAATTTGTTACTTTTTAATAACGATATTTTACATTCACATTCAATCACAATATAATCTTATTTATTAATTATTAAAAACATAGATACTAAAAGATAGTTGTGTATCTTAGATGCACCAATATTTGTCTTTATCCATGGTGGATATTGGCAGGAATTCAGCAAGGATTTATGTGGATTCGCGGTACCCTTGTTTGTTGAAAACAAAATCAAAGTAATCACAATTGAATACGATCTGTGTCCGAATGGTAAAAAATTACATTAAAAATACATTAAATTTTATTGACGTTTTCTATTTCTGAAACTTAAGAAATTTAGATACAAAAAATATATGAAAGTATTACAGATTCGCAAATTATTATTATATTATATAAATATATATTAGATATAAATTTTATTGAAAGATTATTTATATTAAAATAGTATGATTGTATTTTCTTCTATTTTAGTTAAACTTGAAGATATAGTAGCGCAGATAAAATCGGCAGTCGAACAAATATTAAAATATGCAGCCGATTCGGGCTCCAAGTATGTTACTCTCAATCTTTCATTATATTTGTATATCAGATTTATACGTACTCTTGTAAAAAATAAATTTCAACTATATGTTTAAATAATGCTTACAGACGCATATGTATTGCTGGACATAGTGCTGGGGCGCATTTGGCTGCAACTTTGTTGCATGATGACGATTGGATCAATCGCATGACGCAGGAAGGATATTTTGCACTATTAAAGGAAATCGTTCTAATAGGTGGCATTTATAACATAAAACCTCTAGTTGACATCAGTTTTGGGATAGCTCTTCAGCTCACTGAGTAAACATTTTTTATGTATCTATAAAATATTTAATACAACATCGTATACATTACACTTTCTTGACATTTTAGAAAGGAAATTAAAAACTGGAGTTTGCTTACTCTTAATGAAGCGAAAGATTGTCATATCAATGGCTTGAAAGTTATCGTGACTGTAGGGGAATGTGATTCTCCTGTATTTATAAACGAATCACGCGAATATGCCAAGGTATTAAATTAAATATTAATGTGCACCAAATATCATAAGAAAAAATCATAAAAATTAAGATTATATTACTGTTTCAGAAAATTATTCCTATAGTGGATAATGTGGAATATTTGTTACTTCGAAACAACATTGATCATTTTGATATAGTGGAGAAACTTTTGGATCCAAATTATCATCTCGCTAAATTAATAATAAAATGTCTTCAACCTGATATGACTATTTGAAGAATATAAAGCTAAAACATTTTATGTTAGAATACGCTACAATATTTCTTATAAGACGTTATGTTCAATATACTAATTAAAATACAACGTTATATACTAATTAAAATACATTTTGAATTTTCTAATAAAATTTATTAAGAATTATATTAATGTATCAATATATTTCACTTATAAATCACATAATTTACATAATAGAAATAATTGATTTGTATAGTAGAAATAATTAACACCCAAATATTTATTAGCTTATATTAGTTTTCGTGTAACAATGATCTAAAAAGATAGCCCTTATTATAGGTTCATTTAGTCATTTTGGTTTTATCTTCGAGAAATGCACATTTATTTGGTTGGAAACAGACTGCACTGTCGAGTTTTTGGATACAATAATCGGCTTACCTTGTTGAATAATTCGTAATATCGTTTCGTTTCCTCTAAAGGGCACCTCGTTTCTCGTGATGATAGGTTTTTGTGGTTGATTTTGTCGAGTAGTGTCTGTTTGAGCAGATGGCAACTGAACACAAATATCGCGCTTAGGTGTTTGTTCACTTTTCGTATTTACCTTTAGATAATTATTTGTAATATTTTTAACACTGATTATATTCCTATTTGACGGTATAAGCAATCTTTGACTTTTCACCAGAGGAAGTATCTTGTTTCCAAGTTGTATAGTACACTTGGTAAGAGGCAATGTCTTAATAATTGGTAATGGTTTATTGATTGCATCATTGGTCAGATCAACTACATCTTTGAGTTGATTTGGTGCTTTTGATGCATTTTCTTCAGCGATCTTAACTATTTTCTGTCGACTATCCACCTCCCAAGTTGTAGGAGGTTTTGCAAAGGATCGTACTCGCAATAGAGGCTTCTTTTCTTCTTCCCGTTGATTCTCGGTTACAATTACATCTGTCGCATCATCTGTTATTACCTCTGTTTCACCTGCAATCGTCACCTCTGTGATATCTTCCATTATTGGTTCCGGTATTTCTGCTACAGCACCAGGCATTACATCCGCTACATCCTCTGTTACCGTTTCTATTACAGGTAGTACAGGACCAGGTATTACTTTGGACATGTCTTCTGTTACCACCTCAGGTAGATCTTCTACAACATACACGTAAAATATATGTCTACGATTTCTCTCATTTTTTGTGTGAAAACTTAAATTCACAAACCTTCAATCCTATTACTTGTGCAGTCTACTGTAGAACATGTTGGTAAGGAATCCGCTGGTGTTTCTGCATTTACATCCACATTTTTTGCCACAATATTATTATTGCATACTTTATTTACAATTTTCTCAGTTGCTTGATTTTTATTCTCAGATATCACCATGTTATTCTCTTTTATCGGAGTTTTTATTTTATCCTTTTCATTGTATTTCTGTTGCGATGTATCTAGTAGAGTTTTATTTGATATAACTTTATCCGTTTTCCGATATATATTTATTGTATTTATATTACTCATACCATTTTTTACAAGCAATCTGTTATTTTGGTTAACTTTGTTCTCTGTGTTATCTTTGTTCTCTGTCTTAACTTTGTTAATTTTTTCATTTATATTCTCCTCATTATCACTGTCCTCTTCACTTAAACTAGCCACAGATATATCATCCTTTATCTTATCATCCACAACACTTTCACCTTCTTCATCTTCTTCTTCCTCCGAAGTTTCAATATCATTTTGCTCCTTTACTTCATATTGTTTCATTGTATATTTGTCAAATACGGCAGCTAATCTTTTTTCACCTTCGGTGCGATTATCGATTAATTTATTTGCTAAGTCTTTATCTTTTATAGCTGGATCTTCTCCCGCGTTTTCAAGATACAAAGAAAATGTATCCCAATAATCGTTACGTCTTGTGCGTTGTAAAAGTTCTCCTAATTCTAGGAAAGCTTTTCTTGCTGCAAGATATATATCAAAATAATAAACATATAAATATAACAATTAAATATATTTAAATATAACAAATAAAATATTTAAAATATAACATTAAATTATATGATACACCCCCCCTCCCCACACACATACAAAAGTTAGTAAATACTAAAAGTAATATATATATCTTACCCAATTGTTTTTGTTGTTTTCTATCTAAGCCTAAATTTCTTTTATCGTTACATCTACTAACACATTCCAAGATATCTCTATAATCAGGGAATATTACATCATTTGTAAGAGCTCCTGTCTTCTTTATCTTATTTCGTCGGGCAATTTTGGAATTAATGAAATTTGTTATTGCTTGATCAACAACAACAATACGAGTTGAGCTTATATGCTTGGGCCGCAAATATACGCGCCCCGCATCAGTATTTTCTCCCGTTAATTCGCAATATTTGTTATATAATTCTACCATCCTTTGTTTATATCTTTCAACTTTCATATAAGTACTATTGTCCTCTTTATCGAAATCAACTTCTGCTTCTTCCAATTTTTTAATTATTCTTTCACAATTTGTCATGGCTTGTAATATTAATTTAATTTTATCTTTTGTCCGAGGATTTGCAGTTTCTTCATTATCATTGCTATAATCTAATTTTGCTGCATTATTAACTGATAAATTATTTGCAGCGTATGAAGTAGAGGGAACTGCATCATAGGTTTCTGTAGATGGCAATATATGGGATTTTTTTTTGAATTTTCTTTTCATCTCATTCATCACTTCTTCTATATATACATATAGTTTTTTATCATTTTTCATAATGGCCGCACGCTTTTCATTTAAAAACGAAACAAAATGTTCTGAGCTGGTGTATTCCGGATCTAACTCTTCGTAACGTCTCTTTAATTTATTAATAATTTTTTCCATATCTTTTCTATCCTTATCCTTACTTTTTTGAAGGCATAAACTTATAAAGAGCGGAAAAACGTCATGTGCAACATACGATATCTTTTTCTTCTCTTTTATAACCAATTTTGGCTTTTCAATTATTTCTTGATTTTTGTTTGGTTGTACAGGAACAGACTTATTAGATAAATCAGACTTATCAGAATTATTAGATATGTGATATAAGTCAGGCTTAAATATAGTTTCAACTAATGCCATAACTTGATTTTGACATTCATAACTTGATTTTGACATGTTCAATTTTTTTTTCTTTTCCATATTGTTATGAATTTTTTCTTCTGTATCTGTTGTCAACATTTTTCGTTTTAAATTATTTCCTTCTACTTTTTCATCATCGCTAGATAAAGTTTCTATCTTTCCACAAGTGACAGAAGTATTATCTAATTTCGTCTTATTTTCCTACAGCAATAAATTTTAAATTAAATCAGAATAAAAAGTATATATCGAAAGAGTATATAAAATATATATATATATATATATATAAAGAGAAAGTGAGAAAAATTTTATTACAGTTCTACTACACCTTTTGCGAATTCGTCTCGTCGTCAGAAGAAATACAGATAATCTCCATATCCATGATTTCATTCAAATCGAGTTCGAATTCGTTACCGCCAATCTAGATATAACCTAACGCTCCCCAAACTGTCTTGAATGACCTCCTGTTAAATAATAACATATTAAATTAAAAAAGTAATATACAATTTTTATCACGAAACACATTTCTGACGCGAGTAACATCGCGATTTCACCAGGTGAAATCTATTCAAGGCTTGTGCGATGATGTAATTGCCGTTTTGCGATAACTCTTCATTTCCGAAAAGGCATTCCCGAGATCGTTTTGATAACAATCCCGCGTATGAATTCGTGAAAAATCTGTTGTCTCGAAAATAGAGTACAAATCTTACATGTTTACTACTTTCTTGGAAATAGTAACTTTAAAGAGAGAAGCTGAAGCGTTGAATTTCCGGAAAACAAAGAGATAGCGAATAGGTTGTCTTACTTACAAATACTTATATGAATATTTCAGGTGAATTCACAAAAAAAAAATTGGATAGAAATTGAAATAAGAATCTTAAAGCCCGTACTTTAATGGAGCTGGTACAAAGTTGACAGAAAATAATGAATAGGATCAACACCTTAAAGTTCTTCCGACACAATAAAAGAGAGATGATAAAAGATCCAAAAGCACTGTGCAGGATATTTATGGTATTTATCAGCACGAGACCGAAGTATTAAAATATTACCAATGCGTGAGTAATTTTATTGGTCAGTTATTAGGGAAATTTGATCCTACAGGCTGGTATGTTGTACGTAGGTACGTAGAGAACAATAGATAGCTTCGGATGTAATGTGAGTGGTTGAGACGATGAGAGAGGGGAAGAAACAAAAGTGTTAAAACATCGTAAAGATCCGTACAGACGGGTTGAGTGCGCAATGACATGCGTAATTTGAGCCATGGCAATATGGCGCCCCTTACACACAGACATATGATTGGGTAGTTTTTGGATACGGATACGTGATTGGTCAGCTTTCCGATAGGAAACGATTAATCAACTCATGGAATACGTCTGTCTGTGGACAGACTCTAATTTAGAAAAAAAGGAAGATTTATTTCAGAATATCAACATTGTTTGCGCAATCGTCTACTGCGTATGTTTTATATTATTATGATCATATAAAGTGTACATATATTTATACGCAACGTGTTTTGCATAAGATACAAATCAATCGATAAGGCTGGGTCTACAATAGGTAATTTAAGCCTTAAGCCTTAAGAGACCAATCACAGTTAAGTATGAAGAGAATACTCGGCTGTGATTGGTCAATTTTTTAAGGCTTAGGGCTTAAATTATTTATTGTAGATCGGGACTAACAATGGCCGGTATTCATAGTCCGATCTTATATTTAAGATCGTCTTAAGTCTGCTTCGAGATTGACTTAAGACCTCATTCAACCAATCAAATAGCTGCGTAGCATTTCAAGCTCGAACTTAAGACGATCTCAAATATAAGATCGGACTATGAATACCGGCCAATGTATTATAATGAAATTTTGTATTCGAGTCAGAGATATTTTTCTTATCTTAAAAAATTAATTTTTTTACTTTATATTACTACTATTAATTATTTCATATTATTTCATAGCGCTTATTCAGATAATTTTGCATATGATGTACATAAAGCCCTATCAGACTACATATTAAATATTGCAATATCGTAAGTAACTTTAAAAATTTTAGGCCTATTCTATGGCCGGAATTCATAGTCCAATCTTATATTTAAGATTGTCTTAAGCTCTCATTCCACCAATCAATTGCTGCATTGTAGTTATTTGATTGATTGAATGAGTTCTTAAGATAATCTTAAATGTAAGACCGAAATAGATTTTAGATCTAAAAATATACACCAATCAAAGATTGCGCAGCGCCACTTTCGCATACGAAATTTTTTGGCACGATTTCAAGACTAGGGCATCAGGTGCAATGTTACTCTTAGCTAAAGTCCCTATTACTCTTCACTAGAGTCCCTAGAATGCAAATCCTCTTATTGGATTCTGTACAACGGATATGATGCAGTTTGATTCACCATACATTTGTATCCATGCTCATGGACGATTGACTCTTTCCGGTTACAAAGCACACCAAGCATGGGTATGTTAAAAGAATTTTTCTGTAAAATTATCATATTTTTGAAGAAACGATTGTAAAAATGTCAGTTTTGATGAATTCTTCGCTAATATATTTTTTCACTATTTTTCCTTTGTTATTAATATTTATAAATACATGCATCGTATATTTTTTCTTTGATTCGGTATTTGTAGCGTGTCTTTCAAGTATACCGATATTATCAGAGATATTAATGTCGATTATTATGAATATTAATGATGCTTTTATATTATACATACTGTTTTAATATTTCTATTTACAAACAATACTTGACAATATAGAATGTTTTATCCAGAAAAATAGTCTACACAGGACATAACCATTAAGTTACTCACTTTGCATTATAGGTAAACCTAGAGGTCTTCGCACGGCGCGCAAGCACGTGAATCACAGACGTGAGCAGCGATGGAACGATAAAGACTACAAAAAGGCACATTTGGGAACCAGATGGAAGGCTAATCCTTTTGGTGGTGCCTCCCATGCTAAAGGAATTGTTTTAGAAAAAGTGTACGTAGTTTGTACTATTATATGTAAAATTTGCATTTAGTATGTAACTTAATGGTATTTTATTTTTTAACAGAGGAGTAGAAGCCAAACAGCCAAATTCTGCTATCCGTAAGTGCGTCAGAGTACAGCTGATCAAAAATGGAAAAAAGATCACAGCTTTTGTACCAAGGGACGGTTGTCTCAATAACATTGAGGAAAATGACGAAGTTTTAGTGGCGGGTTTCGGTCGTAAGGGTCATGCTGTCGGTGATATTCCTGGAGTACGATTCAAGGTGGTGAAGGTTGCAAATGTTTCTCTATTAGCTCTCTACAAAGAGAAGAAAGAGAGACCTAGATCTTAAATTGTCAAGTACTAGAAACATGTATTGACAAATATAAAAGTGTAATTTAAAGATAATTGTTTTATTCTATTCTTATTATCAATACATCTTCCTGTACCTTACATAAACATTTCCAATAATGCACGTGTGATACAATTTATAGATTTTTCTACATCTTGTATATTACAAATATTTGAATTAGATATCAATTAATTACACTTTACGATTGTAGCAAAAATTGTGTATAAATATAAAATCAATTGTTTGTCAAATTCCAATTTTCGAGTTCTTCATTATGAACAAGTATATCTTCTATAATTTTATTGAAAGGTGTAGCAGTCTTCGGTAACATTGGTAAATTTTTCATATTACATATTTCATCTTTTGCTCGCAGTATCTGCACAAATATGATTAGATGTATACTTTGACATTGATTAACATTACATTACGCAGTGAATTATACAATAAATCTAAAATTTTCCTACCTTTTTTAATGTGTCGAAATCAGAGCATATGCTTTTAATGTCTGAACAAATGGAATCAGAAATATCTTTATTTAAATTCCCAGTTTGTACTGGCCAAGATGAAATTGTCTGAAATGCTTCTATAAATTTCTCTGTTTCCTTCTCAAACAGTGCATTCTGTTCATCATTAATTGATTTGTCATCAGTCTATAATATTTATACAAAATAATAATTTAAACATATGTTTTTAATTTCGTTAATAATTCTTTTTCCTTTCATACCTCTACATGTGAATCTTCAGCCAAAATAGTTTTAATATCTTCGCAATCGTTATTCGATACGTCTGTTTCATTTTCTTCGAAATACTTAATACTTTCAGTATAACTTATTTTTGGTTTAACAGAAAGAGAAGGTATTTCATTAATATCATCAATACACAGCTAACAAAAAATGTATACACATTAATAACCACAATATATATAAATAGATTTATATTATATATTCATTCAATATTAACATATCTTACATATAACATACCTTAGTAATATCCACAAATGTTTTTTCTATATCAATTATATTCACAAGGGGTTTCATGTGTACTTCTCTCATAAAATCCAATAATAATCTTAAAAACGGTAGCTGTTCTTTCAAGGAACATTTACCCTAAAATAAAATTAAAAATATCTTTAATATATTAATAATAATAATCAATATCTTATATATAACAAAATGTGTTATTTTATAAACAAACCAATAATATATTCTTGTTATTACACATTCCAATCTGAGAGTAGTATTCGAACAACTGATCTAAAAAAATATATACTATTTTTATTATGTTATAGATAATATTGTGTTTATTATATTATTGTATACACAAATATTTATTATAGAATAATAAAGAATAATAAATAGAAATATTATTCCAGGTTTAATTGGAAATAAATACACCATGAAATTACAATCGCGACATGGAGAAAAATAAGGATACCTTCCAAAGCAACATCCTTCAGCTTTTCTAAATGTACGTTGATTGATGATGATTTCTCTGTCAGCAGCCAAGAGAGTAAGCAAATGCGATTTTCACCACTAAGAATTGTTTTTTCCAAGTCTTTTGACTCCGCGTTAGTGATATGCGGATACCGCAAGTGTATTAAAGTATCGTATATACTTATCATAACATCATTCGTATCATTCATAGTAGCAGAGAGAAACCTGAGAGCGGCCATCAGCTTCGACGGGCACATTTCTTGATGCTTGACGCGCCGTCTGACAAAGTGGACGTGAACTATGTCCATTACGCTCGGTAACGAAACATGGTTTGTGTCTATGATATGGGTTCATGTCCGAACTATTCAGAGATGGACAGTCGGATAAGAATCGATAATTCATCGTTCTGTCTTTGTCTCATCAATGACAGACCACGCGACTGCCACGCGACGAGCTTATGATTTTGCATTCCTCTTTCTCTCGTCGCGCTTTCACGTTCTTCGTTATGATGTAATAACGAAATGATCTTCACATAATCCTAATTTTTTAAGGGTATTTGGCAGACAAGTTTTCCAACTTTGTATGTCCTGTAACAAAAATACAACACATTATGAAAATTACGATTACATGCTTACTTCAAGCTGCCATAGCAATTGGTATACCGAATGTTTGGTAAAAAAAATTTTTTTGTCAGGCGTGTTGGTTATAATCAATTCGATAAAGTGATACTTCATAATAGCGCGTAGCAGTGCAAGTAAGATGACTGCTTGTCACGGCGCTGACCCGAGTTCGAATCTCTCTGCTGTCGTTTTTTTTCGGATATGAACCATAGCTCGGACATGAACCATAGCTCAGATACCATGTGTATTATTATCGACTATAATGGATGTAGTTGACGTCCACTTTGTCAGGCGGCGCATTAGGACAATATGCCCGTTAAAGCGAGGTGGCCGCTCTCAGGTTTCTCTCTGATAGTAGTAAATGATACAGATATACATGAAAAAACTCAGAAAAACATTTAACTGCGAGTGAGAAAACATGAAGAAATTATAATTATCTCAACTCGCAACATTTGTTATATTATTTTAAAGAAATATTAACAGAAGACAATATACACATACAACTCTGTATATATTTAAAAACAATAATAAAATTTCAAACAACATGAATAATAAAGTTCAATAAGATGAGAGACTCGTATCAGAGAGAAGACAGAGATATTATGGCCCGCTTTTAGTCCCGAAACCTTACTGTCATGTCTTATGGAAAGAGTGTGCTATAGCCTTTAGGCCGGTATTCATAGTCTGATCTTATATTTAAGATTACTTAAGTCTGCTTCGAGGTTGACTTAAGACCTCATTCAATCAATCAAATAGCTGCATAGCATTTCAAGCCCGAATTTAAGAAGATTTCAAATATAAGATCGGACTATGAATACCGGCCTTAAATATATATCTATCTTTATCTCTCTTTCTAAATAAATAAAGACACATATATTTAAGTTTTGCTTAAAGCTAAAATAACGTTGGTGCAACCAGGCACAAGTCACGTAAGCTATAGATTTTCAGTACTGTGAATTTTGGAACACAGCCAGTATATATGATGTAATCTATATATAGAATTAATCGACTATAAAGAAATGTTCTTCCAGAGATATTGTATAAAAAATATTTTATTATTTATAACATTTTGAAATATTTTAATTTAAGTAGTATACATTTATATGTAATTAACACAAAATTATCTTTTCGATATCATTCATTTGTTATTGATAAATAAGAAAAATATATTTCTAATTTGTTATATAGTCTTAGCTGAAGAAAAAAATTAATGGATGTAAACTTTTTATAGTAAATTTGAAATTTTATATTAGATATAAATTTTTTAAAGTTTATATTAAATATAAATTTAGATAAGATTTCCTGTCAATATCCATTTAGGTAGCTTTAAAGAAATCTTCTGAACTGGTTGTGTAAATATGCCCTTCACAGAGAAGAAATTCTAATATTTCATTGATGCGAGGTATAATATGTTTTGGCACTCGTGTCAGAATATCACGTTTCTCGATACCACATTCTGAATCATTTGCCGATCGAACAACTTCGAGAACCGCTACTTGTTCGGATGACATACCACTCATTGTATTATCAAATGTTGTAGGTAAATTAGATAATGTGGATTCTTCCGCAGGTTTCTTAGCCTTCAATATAAAATAGATGACTTCCATAAAGTGACAAGTCAGTTCATTTAAATCTTCAAGAGGAAACATGCGCACAATCAGCACATGTTGTTGATTATTTTGATTACGTATTAATCCATAAATGCGCACATATGTATTAATTTGCGTACAAATACTTTCTAGAGGATTCTTATCTGCTTCTAACCACTTGACAGCTGTGACAGTACCTGCAACATAAATTACAAATCAAAATCAAAGCTTATCAAACATAACTATAATTATAGTTTAAGAATATTCAAATAAATAAATATTGCAAGTGTTTCAAAAGTTTTCTAATTGTACAATGTTTTTAATGTATATGAATTATTATTCGAGTAATTTATAAAATATTAATCTAGCAAAACTTTTTGCAATTTATACACATACATATATATATATATATATATATATATATATATATATATATATATATATGTGTGTCATTAAAATCGAAATAATTTACACAATGTACCTGTGTCATCCTGAATACTGAAAGAGATTTTTGTTGTATCCTGTTCAATATTACGTATGACTCCGACGAATGTTAAAGTATTTACAGTTTTGCCGGCAATCTGCAGGCCATCTCCTGTTGCGGATGTGATGTGTTTTATCATTACGGGGGCAATACTTTTGTCACTATCTTGCGACTTCTTCGCGGTTCCTCCTTGCGTGCTTTCGTCCAGAAATCCGCCTCCAAAATTCGTGGAGCTTTCATTCCACATGATTGTGGGTTCGCAAGCTTAACTTTTGGAACTGGAAACACGTTGTATATTAAGCAATAAACAAGACTGAACTTGCGCGCGAAATTCGAGTTGGTTGGATTAAGTTAGGTTAGAATAGAATGTTATGTCACATTTCCAGTTTGACAGATCATGGGTCTGTTCTTTTTAGCTGCACTAGTGCGATTAGTTAGAATGAAAGAAAGTATGTTTGTCTCTTTCTAACTTATTGCACAAGTATAGCAGTGCAGCTAAAAAGAACAAACTCCACGTCAGATTGAGGGATTGCATGGGACGACCAATCAGAATTTAAAAAAAGATTTCTTCGCGTTTTCATTGATCAATCTTATGTCAATCCATAAGTCCATATATTGACAATTAAGATTGAAATTTGACCAATCAGAATAGAGAAATTTTATCTTCTCTTGTTATGAGTCAAATTTCGATTAAGATACCCGATATGGGCTAAGTCTGATACTAATGTCAAATAGAAAGTAGCTGCACGTCTGCGTGTCTGTTATCTTTTTCTCTTCAACAATCATATATATATATCTCACTTGCGAGCGAAAAATGTAACATGATGCAACTATAAAGAACAGACCTGCAGTGTGCGCTGCCGGTCTTTTTTACACACTCATGCTTTTCTAAGGGGCAGGAATAAAAATATTTTTGCGCGATAGTTTGCACGGCTATCGGGTTCAAGCTGATTTGACGTGTAAAGATATCTGAATAATTCGAATCCGCCTTTAATCTCGTTGAAGATGAATCGAGAAGATCGGGGGTTGTTCGTGTCTCCGGTTTGTTGATTTTATGTTACCATAAAAAGTATCATGGCGTCTAAAACCCATGTGGACAACACGGTGAACGAACGTCGTTTGCGACCGATTTATGGTACGTATAATTTTATCGATAACGAAATCGGATCTGGTATCCGATGTGCTCATCCCCGTCGAACTGTCTGGTCGTATCTTCGGAATTAAGGATGACGAGGTTATATAACAGCACCCAGTGAAGTTCCTCTGGGTTTCAGACTGGCTAGATAATGGCAACAATAAAAAGGCGCTCCAAGAAGCGGACAAGGTACTTAAGAAACACCCGAGTAATCAATGCGCCAGGGTACTCAAGGCTCTGGCCCTATTGCGGCTAGGTAAGGAGAGTGAGTGCCAAATTATTATGGACAAAGTGCGGTCAGAGATACCATGTGAAGATTCGACCCTCCAAGCGATGACGATCTGTTATAGAGAGATTCATCAACGTAAGATTTTAACTTGCTTATTTTTGAAAAATATATGAGAATTATATGGTTATCGTATTGTTTTAAATATTCCTTTTATTGAATTTATAGCTGACAAAATTAGCGAGGTGTATGAAGCTGCTGCAAAAGCCGATCCTAATAACGAGGAACTTTTGACGCATCTTTTTATGTCATATGTTCGTCTTGGAGACTACAAAAAACAGCAGCAAACTGCTCTTACCTTGTACAAAATGAAACCTAAGAATCCATATTATTTCTGGGCTGTTATGAGTACAGTGATGCAAGCCATTCATTCGGACCAAAAATTAGCAAAAGGAATTATTTTACCATTGGCAGAAAGAATGGTTTGTTCATTATTATTTTTTGATGTAATTGTAACTGCATATGTTTGTTACAAAAAGTTACTTATTTATATATAAATAGATATTGTGAAAATGATTAATATAATTGTTTTGAGTTTTTTAGGTCCTAAAATTAGTAAGAGAAGGAAAAATGGAAGCGGAACAAGAAGTGCAACTTTATTTAATGATTTTGGAATTGCAAGACAAAAATGAAGAAATATTGAATGTGTTGTCTAGTCCTTTAGCTTCGCATTTATCATATGTACCACAACAGAAAGCTACAATTCTGTTAAAACTAGAACGCTTTCCCGAGGCTGCTAATGCATATCGCGAACTTATTAAAAAAAAGTGAGTACAATTGGCAATATTCTTTCTTTTAAACACTATTTTATATTCATGATATCTTGATAATATATTGATTTCTCCCTCAATATTTATATGTAAAATTGTCATGTTTATTATGTAGCAATGACAATTGGGCATTTTATCAAAATTATCTTTTGGCGGCCTTAAAATTTCAACAACCGACAGAATGCTTGGATTTTCTTAACAATATTATTAATACATCTGAAAAGGGAATTCGTGCACCATATTTGGCTCGTTTAGATTTATTAAAACGCGCCTATGATAGTGAAGATGTACAGTGCAATTTGCAAGCTGTAAACTTCATGCATCAATATTTTGTTCAATTTGGAGAAAAAGGCTGTGTAGTTGGTGATTTGCGATTATATTTAAATCTACTTACGTCCAAGATGAAGTTTGAATTATTTGAAAAGGTAAGGAGATTCAGATTAATCTGTGAAGAAATTTTTAAGTTTTAATATATTTATATATGATATATTAGAAATATTAAAATCAGATGCATCAACTGCATTTCTTATTTATTTCAATAAGATTAACTAAAATATTTTAAAATTGCTTAATGTAATTATTTATAATATTGTAGATTGAGAAAGATGTTGGCGTTACATCAGATGAGTTTCCTACTACTGTACGACAGATGCAAAGGCATATTCATTTAGAGCAATTGCGGCGTATTTGTGGTTTCCATCATCCTCCTTTGGCAGATAGAAACAAACAGGAACAATTAATAAAGCGATTATGCGATTTATATAAAAAAGGCATTGAATTATGTCCAATGCAAGATAGATTGCCAACTGATTTCTGTCCGGCGGATCCATATATTCTATTAGCTACACATTTGTTGCATCAATTATGGGTTGATACTAGTGATGCGTCTTTTCTTTATAAGTAATAATATATTTTTGTATATAATAACAAAGCTATCTATGATATTAATAAGAAATTGCTAATATTTTGAAAACATGCACATTTTTGAAACGATGGATTTACAGGGCAATGTCGTTATTGGAACACGGTCTTCTGTCGAGTCCTGTAAATTTTCACATCAAAATTTTGCTCGTGCGTATTTACTTGGAGGCTGGTCTAGTGGTCGCGGCTGATCATACTTTCGCATTACTTGATGTAAAGCACCTTCAACTAGATTCACTGGGTCATCTCTATGCGCCTCTTCTCGCACCTCTCGGTAACTTGCCTCTGGCCTCAACAACTCTTGATCATACAGCGAAATTTTTCATAGCAAACTATAAGGATGTATGTGTTTTCAAGTATAATAGATTTAAGAAATGGACGAGAATATATATCTATTTAAATTTAATTCATGAATTATTTTTTTAGAGTGCAGATCATTTAACGTTTGCATATAAATATGGCAGCTTTATAAAAATACAGGAATTTGTTGAACTGAGAGAACGATTAGATAATTCATTTCATTTTGCTATGACAACTGTAGATAAGATGTTACTCGATTTATGTTGGTGTGATAGTACTGCCTCTTTGATTTCTACTTTGAATAGTATGCATATACAACCTCATCTTGATACAATTAGATGGGCATCTCTACGAGATAATCGTGACTTGGAGGTAAATATATTTGACAAGAGAGATATAATTTAATAAAATGTAAGAGAGAGAGAGAGAGAGAGACATTCAAATTTTACCAGTAATAAATTTTATAAATTATGGCGTTAAATAGGTTGTTCGTGGGTGGGAGCCACTTCATCAGAATGAAAAAGATTCAAGAATGCAAGAGGAGACGCGTGTATGTATGTTAAGACTGCTTGCAGCGAGAAATGCTATACTACGTATTTTGGCCGCAAGTGCAAAATCTTCTTCAAATTTTCTTTCTCAAATATCTACCGAGCTTAAAGAATTGGATGAAGAAATCATCCCAAAAATATTACAAAAATTTGAAACGGACGGAAAACGGAATAGACCATGCAAAATATTGGTTCCGCTAGATGCTGTAGAAAGATTACGCGAAGCTCATTATTCTGAGCAGTTGAGAACTATAGCGTGCCTTGCAAATTCACTTTCTCAGTCATCTTATCCAGACTTTGATTGTATACAAATGCTGCAAACATCTCTTTGCTTACAAACATTACCTATTCCCGAGCGGGATACGCCAATATCTTTTAAAAACTTTTTATTCAGAGCCGCAACTTGTAGCGAATCTTTAGCGATCATTAGCGCTATATGTAGCGTATATGCGGTAAAATCGAAACCACATGCTTCACAAAAGAAAAATAAAAAGAAATGCAATAAGAAAATCGAATCGAACATGATAAATGAAACTAACGAGACTAAGGTAATTATTTCTTCTATATGAAAATAAATTTTTAATATTAATTTAAAGTTTTAAAGCATAATAATATAATAATCTTGCAACATTTTTTGTACATGGAATTGAATGTGATAATCTCTCATTTTTATGCAAATATGACAATCGTTAATTATTGAGATGATATATAATTTCACTATATAAAGCATAATCAATTTTTATAATGATTATTTATTGCATTATAGGTTTGGAGGGAAGTAGCTGTATTACTCTCTGAAAGAGTTCAAAATTTAGATGCAGTCCTAACAGAATTTGAAAAATATGAATTACATACAGATTTGGATGAGAATGATCATGTATGTACCACTATTATGAACCGCATTATAAAACGAGGGCAAGCGAGTCTCAGGCAAAGTTGCAGATCCCTCAAATCTCGTACTCAGCCTATATTAAGGCTTTTAAGTAATTTAAAGAGCTGAAACTATTTGACAATATTTGTACAAAGAACAATATCTCTCCGTCTATTTCATAATTTTCAAAAAATGATTCAAGAATTCTGTACATAATTCTTAGCTCCCATCAATTATAAATAATGAATGAATGGTTTAATGCTGATTAAAATATCTGAATCTTTTATTTGTGTGTGAAAAGCATTGCACAATTATTTCGATACTGCCATTCAATCAGCTCATATGATGTTCCTTGAATCCTTCAAAATAATAGGTGTGTGCATATGTAATAACTCAAATAGTCTAACACTCTTTCAAAGTATATAGAATTTTTACATTTAAAAAACGGATTAAGTTTAAAGTTAAAGACTTATGCACCTTTAATTATACGCCATTTTTTCATTAAAATAAAATAATTTTATCTATATATTTTATAGAAAGTCTATATTTGTTCATGGTTTAAAGTCAAGTATTTTATGTAATTTTTTTTTAATATAATATTTATGGTATATATTGTTTTTAAATCCACATTTTTAAATTCCACTTTTTCCTTTTATACATATGAATAAATTATTTAGAAGTAATAAGTTTGTTGATTCAAACAATTCTGGAGAAGTCAGTCTGTAATTGATAAATTCTTTACTTAATTTTCGTAATTTCTAGCATGACTAAAAACAATTGCATTTATTTTATGTATATTATATGTATATGTATAATTATTTCACTTAAAAGAGAATGGGTATTTTGTTTTAAAACCTTTAAATCTATGTTTATTGATTAGCACATAATTAACGTGATCGAAACTATATTAATGTTTTTTAATTATTTGATCGGATTGAATAATTACATATCAAAAATTACACAAAAATAGTTATGAGTTTTTCAATATTTTGTCGATATTACGATAAAAATAGTTTTATTTACAAAAATTATATATATATATATATATATATATATATATATATATCACATTTAACATCAATATTTAACACATAGTAGTCTGTACAATAATCATTACTTAAAGAATTTTTTAATTATCAATTATGTATATTTATCCATTTCTGTATTTAATCAGAAAATATATCTGAATAGGAAAGTAATCATTATAATGTAATTATACATTATAAATATATGGTTTTTGTGCTGTAAAAGAAGCATAGAAATCTAATAATCAATAAATTAATCATGAAATTTATCTCTGATGCTACATGCTGGGAGAGCGTGTCATAGTGATAAATTGTTGGATTATATTGTCATTCTCTTTTTATGATTTTAATTATATATGATTACATATAATTTTAACTACTAGATGTACACTAGTAGTTTTTCTATACGGAACTGCGTTATAGAGAAAAAAAATGCCTATTATATATATATATATATATATATATATATATATATATATATATATACACATATATATATACATATATATATACATATATACATACACTATGTGCATGTATTTTCCTCTTAGCAGATAATGAAATATTTGCAACAGTATACACGTCGAGATACACTATACATAGGAAAACTGATTATAATCCTAATCTTCCGGGAGTGTTGCGATAGGGAGCGGGGGTGCCCGGTTCTCTAATGCCAGGCGTTAATATTTCCTTCTTCCGAACCGACGCCTGTTCGCGTTCGAGTTGCTCTTGGGCGCGTGCCTTCATCTCCTCTTCAGCCTCCTTCATTTGATGCTCCATCTCGTGGAGGTGCTGCATCGCTTGCCGTCGTTTCGCGCGACCACTTCTACCAGTCTCTTTCACACTAAAGAACATGGGACCCAATTCGGCCAGCCAATGACCATCTACCGCGGTAACGCATTGCATGTATTCCTTGGCAGTCATTACGAGTTCGTGGTATACGACGTAATCAGGCGTGAATCCCATGCCGAATAGCGCGGAGGTAGGATGAAGATGACATGGCATTCCGGTACGACAATTAACGTACTCGCCGATACCCTTCAGACGTGCTGCTTGGTGAAAGTATGCGGAACAGATGCATTTTCGCACGATATCCCAGTCGGTACCGCAACTGACAACGTCCATTTTTTGTTGTTTTAGAATTTCTTCGAGTTGCGACCGTACCTCCCGCACCTTGCGCATCGCCTTTGCATGTATGAAATGATCGTTACACCAGGAACTTGAATAACCATTTGCCTTCCATTGATTGTACACGTTCAAATATGTTAGGTGATCTGATTCTGGTACTTGAAACTTTTCACGCGCCGAATCTGAATCTTCTTCGCGTCCTTTAGGTCGATAAAAAATCGACGGAACTGACAGCATGGAGACGATAATGAGGATATCGGCAGTGCAGTTGAGTTGCGAGGCGACTATGAGCATCTGGCATTGAGGTGGATCCAAAGGAAACTCGGCCATTTGCCGGCCAAGGGCGGTCAGACGTCCAGTATGATCGAGTGCGCCCAAAATCCACAACTGATATAACGAGTTTAATATATTATCTTGTGGTGGCGGATCCATAAAATGGAATGCCAATAGATCCTGTACTCCCAATGATTTCAATAGAAGCACTGTATTAGCTAAATTTGTACGTTGTATCTCAGGAACACCAGTTAATAATAATTCGTCTAAATATTGTCTCCGTGTGTACAATCTGTAACACTGACCAGGACCGGTACGACCAGCTCTTCCTTGCCGTTGATCGGCGTTGGCTCTCGAAACAGGATATACCTGCAGAGCGTCCATACCTATTCGAGGATTATATACTTTCAGTTTACAATATCCAGAATCGACAACAAAAACGATTCCGTCGACTGTTAGCGACGTTTCTGCTATATTAGTTGCCACGACGCACTTGCGAAGACCACCTTCAGACCGTTGGAAGATTTTTGCCTGCAGATCCGACGGTAATTGGGAATAGATAGGCAGTATAGAGAGAGATGGTGCTGATTCGATTTCAGCTAAACGTTCCTTCAAAACTTCGCAAGTGACTTCAATATCCTCCTGACCAGGCATGAAGACTAGTACGTCGCCACTTTTAGGCTGCAAATGAATCTGCATGACTTGCTTTACAGCCGCGTCTACATAATCTTCGACCGGATTCTTCGCATGCAACACCTCGACGGGAAACGTGCGTCCAGGTATTTGAAACGTTGCCGCGTTACCGAAGAAAGCAGAGAATTTGCTGCAATCCATCGTTGCGGAAGTTACAATTAATTTTAGATCGTGTCGTCTAGCAACCACCTATAAATATTTAAGTTAAAAGGATTGTTTAAGGAAAGAAAGTAGTTGGATAATACAAGATAAAAAATAAATTGAACGCGCAATACCTCTCTGAGAAGACCGAATAATACGTCAGTGGAAAGCGACCGTTCATGAGCTTCGTCCATTATGACAACACTGTAACGATCCAAATCCCCTTCTCTCAAACTTTCTCTCAATAGAATACCATCAGTCATATATTTGATGATTGTCTGCAAAAATAAGATCAATTATATAATATTAGTTAATTATAGGTCGAAACAAATTTGGAGAAATTTAAAAGAAATATATATTATACTTACATCCTTCGAAGTACAATCTTCAAAACGTATTGCATATCCGACTTTGTCACCTAGAGCAGTTGCCATTTCATCAGACACTCTTTTCGCAACAGACATAGCAGCTACTCTTCGAGGCTGAGTACAACCAATTATACCGTAACGACTGTATCCGTCTTCGTGAAGATATTGCGTCAATTGAGTCGTCTTACCGCTACCTGTTTCACCTACTATTATGACAACGCTATTCTCTCTGATAACGTTCAGCAGCTCTTGGCGTACCGCGAATACGGGGAGACTTCTTCTTTGATGTTGAATAGATCTATGCCTAGCTTCCCCCGTTACTTCTCCTGCTCCTATATGCCGTGCGTATTTTTGTCCGGCTTTAAAATCTGTTTCTTGTCCCGCATGTTCCTTGTCGTCCTTACGCCGATCGTGTACACCCATAATATTGCCAATGTGTGTTCCAGCCAATTCCCAATGCTTTTTTTGTGCTCTACGCCTTTCCTTTTGTTCGCGATATGCCTTGACCAGCGCTGAACCTTTCCTCGCTACGAGAGCCATATCAGATGTAGGATCGCGCACAGGTACAACTGGTTCTGGTTGTTTTGTAAATACGATGCGACCATCCAGGAATGGCGGGACTACATTATGAACCAGCAAGTGAACTCTCGCTTCACCCTCGTCATCGGGGTCGTCATCATGTTCCAACGAGCTGACAACTCCCGATGTTAACATACGGTTACGCTCCCACAATTCATTATCTTTATTTATTTGTCGTTGTTGTGCGGAAAGGCGTTTCTGTCTCCTGGCCTCCAGTTCCATTTCCTTCTTTCGTGTGTATTCCTCGGACACATTGGCAAAAGCATTGTTCTCTCCATCGTCCAACCCGTACCATTCTCTATCCAATCTTTGCTGTTCCTCCTCCCACAATTCCTTTTCCTCTCCATCTACCATTGGAGTGGCACCAGAACTCTTAAAATCTTTGTTCCAAGAATTATATTTATAAGAAGGAGTAAATTCGCTTCTGATGCTGTCGCGATCTGTCCTGCCATCTCTGTTGTAAATATTCGGTGTCGGATGATCCCAGCTCGATCGTCGCGGTTCTTCATCTTCGTCATCGTCCCAATTGCTCTTGGAAGTGGGATCTTTCGTTCGGAATTTGGGTGTCTGGGGTTCATCTTTAAATCTAAGAGGCGTTTGCCTCACACTATCTCTGCCTCGACTTTCTCTGTCCCTGTCTCTTCGCCTATCTCGGTCTCTTTCACGACTCCTGTGTGAATTTCTAGAACCTCTATCATCTACATTTAATCTTTGACGCTTGAGCCGTGATTCTAATCTCCGTTGTGCTTCAGTGTTGACACCACCAGTGTGAGTAGGAGTTTCTTCTTCATAAGATCGATATCTCCTGTCCTTTCCTTCAGATTTTTCAGACCTTGAACTAGTAGGTTTAGTAGGTTCCTGTGACTGTTCTCTTCTTTTTCGTTCCGCAAGCTTCTCGAGTCCTAACAGAGAAGGCTTCTTAAAAGTATGATCTGAAGTTTTCTTACGAATAATGAGGCCTCCTGCTTCATTTCCATCAATTCCATCTAGTTTATACAAGCTTGAGTCATCTGACATCTTTTTTTCAGCAATTTACTAAATTTCAGTAGAATATTACTATCTCCTGAAATAAATATAATTAAATTATGTTAGGTACAACTGAATAAATGGAATACATTTCGCTAGAAAGATTAAGAAATATATAATGATTGGATTATTTAAAACTTGAAGAAATTTAATGTTTAATTATTAAATATAAGGAATTAATATTTTAAAAATTATTAACTGACCTAAAGTATTTTTATGTAAAGTAATACATCAATATCAGTAAAAGATCTTATCACATCAACAACTGTCATAATAAGAACAGCATTATATTACAAAATTATAAAATTACAAAACCATTCACACACTAAATATTTTACAAATTTACTAAGATACATTTAAATAATATGATTTCAATGCTTTTCAAAATAGTATTTCAAATATTTTTCACATAACAAAATAACCTACAAAATATACACTTGATGAAGAATACCAAGAACCACTATAGAAATACCATAGGAAAAATAATCGAAATGATGAGAAAGTATGGCTGATATTCAGGCTATATCGAGATTGAATATTGACCAATCCTGATGCAGATCTTCTCATAAAAAGCTTTATAATGTGTATTTGACGCTAATCTATAGACCTTTATATATTTTTCCTATTCTATGGCCTTAAAATTTAAGCGCGCATGCGCAAAATACTTTGTTACGCGCCATGACTTATTCAGTTCAAAATGAAACGACACTTTTTAACTCTTTTCGCACTTTATATTCGCATTAAAAATGATTCGTGCGTGCGAACGGACATCGTGTTCTCGTACTCGATACACCTACGCAATTATTTTCTGGCAGATTGTCACGGTTGACGATTAAACGGACTGTCAATCGACGGCGGTTAAGGAAAACACGGCGCGCGCATGCGCGAGCGTCCAGTTCGCGCAGCCTCGAGTTCGGAGTGGCGAAGTATGATCGTATCGCGTCTTATAATCGCGTAAAAAAATGGATCGCGAGTGTGAATAAATGTTGAAAATCAATATCGGACTCGTTATAACGCATTAATCAATATCTCCGTTCGCGATTGATCGATCTTCCCTATTATCGTTCGGTGTCGTTGAGTTTGCTTCCGCGCTTAAGTCGGCGGCGGGGAAGAAACGGACAATTTCGAAGAATCGTCGAGATACTTGATTGAGCGATTCTCAAAATGAGGATACCCAATATGAAGATTTGTGCGCATCTCTACGCATCTCGGCATCCTGTCACTTTGCGAACGAAACGAATTCTTTGGAGATTCGATTCTCTGACCATCTCGGATGCATTCGTCGAATTGTTAAGAGAAATGATGTCTCGATCGTTTTGACGCTGATCGTATTATCGCGAATCGGGTATCGGGAACACGTCGAGCGAATCATTGGACGAGCGATTATCGCAACAATTGACCGGTATGTAATAGTTTTATTCCCTTGAAATATTCTTATCGCATGCATATGCTATATACATAATATATACATATACAAGTAAGTACAATGCAAGTACAATGCAAGTAAGCAGAGGTCGTTGCGTGTACTTTTTCACGTCGCGCGCTATTAAAGTTCGATGTTACCTTATTTCTTGCATGCTTTAATCATTTCGGAAAAAAATGTCGAGAAAATGTGAGAAATTTGTGACGTCATAAAAAAATTTGTGTACACTTTTGTTGCATGTGTAACAAATTACATTTTATATCTTCTCTTTTCTTTTTTCTCTTCTCTCTCTTCTCTCTCTCTCTCTCTCTCTCTCTCTCTCTCTCTCTCTCTTTATCTATCTATCTATCTATCTACCTATCTCTAAGGACCCGCTTGATGCTTTTTATTATATAAATTTAAGTCTAGGCAAATAAATATATTTAGCCGAGTAATTTAGCTACATCAAATCTATATAATCATATATAATATTATAATATTCTATAATAATATATATGGTAGTCTAAAAACTTCTAATTAGGCTTTACAGCAATTCTTATTATTATTTCAATATATAGGTTAGAATTAATTAAATATATATACCGAAATTAATATATCATGTATATTGATGTATGATACTTCAATTTATTGATTTAACCAGTCACTTCTGTAAACAGGCTTTTACTACGATTTTTGATCGATAAATTATTTTTTACAACTTTTGCGATTTCTTGGTGATCTTTCAATTTTTCTGAAGATACGTTTAGATTTCCTTTATTTTCATTGCATAATTCTTTATTCATCATTTCTACGGATTTTGCATTCAAATTATTATTTTTATTATAATTTGTCCAGCTACGTTGAAAGTTCACAAAAACATCTTTCCAAATACATAGTTCTTCCACTAAAAAATAATAAAATGCAATTATAGTTATCTTTAATTGTACTTAATTGTATATCGCAAATGTAAATTAATAAATTATTTTTAAAATTTAGCAATATGATATAATAAAAAAAGATTTTATATATGCTATCATAACAAATGCAAATATTTGAGAATATATGATATTTTATATAAATTTTTTGCCTATATGATGTTATGTATAAAAAAAATATTTATACAAGGTGTTTCATAAGTGGTGGGCAAAATTTCAGAAATGGATTCCTCATGCTTAGAGAAGAAAAAAAATCAACATAGATCCGGAAATGATTAGTTTTTGAGTTATTAAGATTTTTGTAATACAAAATTTTGTCTCATTTTTCGTCTTAGAAGTCCTTTTACAGGCATCAACATTATTTTTCAAGTTCGGCGACCTGAAAAACATTGTTGATGTTTGTAAAAGGACTTCTAAGACGAGAAATGAGACAAAATTTTGTATCACAAAAATCTTAATAACTCAAAAACTAATCATTTCCGGACCTATGTTGATTAACTTTTTTTTCTTCTCTAAGCATGAGGAATCCATTCCTGAAATTTTGCCCACTTATGAAACACCCCGTATAGTAAAATTTATATTTTCAGAAAAATAAAAGTATTGATATTAAAGAAGACTTCAACAACTTTTAAAAAAGACTTCAACATTATAAATTATTATTGCTGTAATTTGAATTAAATTTTATTTAAATTAAATAATTCTTTGCCATATCTATAATAAAACTTTTTGATCTAAAGTGCATGTATTTTAGTATTTTTACCGTATAAAAACAATGTTATAAATATAAACAGTCCTGCCGGTATGCTTGCATTAGGTAACACGTTATACGCTAATCCGAAAAGAGCTGGTCCTTCATAAAAAGCTATTCCTTCGATAGTATTGATAAGCCATGGCAAGTAAAGATACGGGATTCCATATATGTCTCCAATCGTTAGCATTATTGTTGACACCAATGCCGCAAGCATGTCTGTCACTATTATCTTAATTCTTAAATCTATGTTAAATAGAAAGTCATTTTCTACGTTATCGTATCTCCCTCCCCCTCTGTCGTTTAATCATATGGAACGAGAGTTTTAGTTACTGTAATTTCGACGTAATAAATTATTAAAAACAGCGGGTCTCGAAAAAGAACGGAATGAGCCGTATGAACCAACTTCCAAAGCGATCGAGCTTAAACAGTTAGTTGCAAAACACATTATACCTAAGTATAATGTCTTGGTCTGGAATAAATACAAAAATATAGATGCATCAAAATAATCAAGATCAATTAATTAATTGTTCAAGTTTCAAAGATGCATAAATTAATTTTTATATTTTGTAGTAATAATAAAAATTAAAATATATTCTAGCCCAGAAGAAAGGAACAGAGAGTAATTATAGAAATATAAAGAGCCTCGGAAAAAAAGAACGGCTTACGCACTTCAATTAAGGAGACTGATTAAGAGATTTTGCTTTAATTAAAATCGAAAATCAATAGAAAAATTAATATATACCTTGGAATTTTTTATGTTATGATCGCTATCCTTCATTTTTGTGTCTGAACTCGAGGCTTCCGAGTCGAGAATCATGATCAATTAAAATTTTCTCCGTTAAATCTTCCAAAAATTGTCTTAATTATTATTTCATTGACTGCTTAACATCGGCTAAAATTGGTTATATATTATTATATATACATGTGTCATCCATAATTTATCTGAAAACTTAATGGCGCGAATAAAAGACGGAGCAAGAGCAATGATTATTCAACTTCAGAGAGTGATTTAAATACTTTTATTTTTTATACTTTCTAGATAAATATATTTTTCTTCTTAATTTATTTATTATATTATGCGATTATCTAATATATTATATCTTTTTATTAGTTTTTATACTATCTTTTTTTTAGTTTACGTAAAGGAAACTGTATATCAAATAAATAAAATTTATAATCATATGCATATTTTTACATATAAATTATGTATAAATTTCATATTTTTCTTCATTTTCATATTTCGATCATATCTATTGCGCTTTTTTTTAAATAATATTTTGTCGATATTTGTCGATAATTTTGATTCAATATATGATTTATATTTAATATATAATATATTTGATATATAATATTTACGAAGTAAAATATATAACTATTCTTTATGTATGTATGTATAGTTTCTAATAATATTCTTATAATTATAAATGTGACATCTCTCTCACAAAATCTCTGAAACGTCATTGCAGAGAAGAGGCGATGGCATCGTGTGCGGCCCGAAGATCCGCTCATTGTTTGTCTAATGCATATTGACTATTAACAGCAAATCCGTTTGCCTTATAGGTCAAGTCACTGCTACGTCACGTCCTTATTTGCTAAGCAGTCTCATCCCTCCCGATCATCTTCGGCTACCATCCATATTCGGCGGTCTCATCCACAGACAATGCCAGTCGCATTCATAAAAGCATCTACCTGTTTGGTGAGTAGAACGCATTAAATACCTGACATTAAGCAAGAGACACCGAATTTTAGCGCGCATAACATCTACGATAGATAGCTTTATCATTCGTATGAAAAATATTCATTTATCAAAATATTGTTTATCGAAACTATTATCAAAATATAGTTTGTCGAACTCGCATTAGAAAGATTCAATCTTGTTCACATGATTGCTACGTCAACTAAAAACTTTTTTAGCATTAAATCGAAAATAGAATAAAGCGATGATTGATGATTGATATATAATTTATTTAATTTTTTATTTTATGATATGCGAAAGAATATTTTTGCTGAAACTTTTTTTTCGTTTTGTATAGTAGATATATAGAGAGACTTGGAAAAACTTTAAAAAATTATAGAAAAATTATAAAACTGAAGATTTATCTTTGGGATAATAAATTCTGCTCTTGTATTATTATATTTCTCTAAATATATAAATATATAAATAATGATAAAAAAAAATTATATATCAATATCGCTCCATAAAAATTATATATAAA